TTAATACTTGGCGAAAACTATGAAATAAAAAATAATATTTAATCTTGAAGTTTATACGAATATAGTATGATAAATAAAAAATAAGGTAGGGCGGGTCACAAAAGTTCAATTTGAATTTGAGAAATCATATTGTGAAGAAAAAAACAATTATATCACAACAAATAAAACATGTTAAACATACAACTACCTGACTATGTTCAGTCAAACTTCCAGCTAATTGATCATTGTAGAAACATGCCCCATAAGCGGCGTAAAATGGGACAGCCAGGAGGCAAACGATTCAATGTCCTATTCTTAATTTTAAAGGGATTTTACGAAATAATAGCTACATTATTCAACCAATGCAACATATAAATTTCATGGGTACATCTTACAGAAATAACACTGTAAATAACTTTGATCTGATATTTCATCAGAAATAGTCATAGTTGGAATAACTATTTAGTTAATTTATCTTAAATTGCATTTTTAACTTGACTTACAATTAGTTTTATATTTACTATCTTTTATTGTTTGACAGAGTAAAGGTTTAATTGGTTCTTTCTACCTCATTCATACATATGTAAGCTCTTATAGAGGTTAAATAAAAAACTGTTAAATCTAACTTGAAAATAACGATGCATCTTATAAAACAATTAAATAACGTTTACCTAAAAGTTATATCAAGGTAACGGAACCACAGTGCTCACAATAAAAAAAAATAACAACGAAATAAAATACTTTTGTTATAGATTTTAAAACATTGCCGTTTATCTCCCGATAGTGACGTTGTAAAAATAAAAGTAACGGCTGGTCATGCATCTTTTTCCCTCTTCTTTCAAATATCGTTGCTAAAAAATTCTCAACTTGACTTGTTTTTTAGATATTGCTGATGGTCCCGCGGATATTCAAGCCCCGCACTTCTCTACAGCATCCAAAATCATAAATTGCGCATATAAAATTGTGGATATATAAAAAATAACAAAAAGTAATATGATTGGCAATTTCAACATGTATACAATTTAAATTTTGGCTTGATAATAAATTAATGCTTAAGTTCTTGAATATATTTTATAATATTCAATTACGTGAATTCAATACGTCATTTAATAATATAATATTAATTTTTACAGCTATTAAATAAAATGAATATAAAGCTATAGAAAAAATCACTGGTTTTGATCCCAGCGGTCCTTATTTCGAAAGAATACCCAAAAAAATAAGATTGGATATAGGTGACGCTACTTATGTAGAAGTTATTCATACAGATGCGGAACCCTATGGCCAAGGTATTATGGAAGCCATCGGCAAAATTTCCACATATCTTGAAACTAACCATTATTATATTGTCTAGGAAACTGACGAGGAATTCTCTAAAAGAAGGACATATATATCCGGGATGTTCTCACAAACGATCAATTAAATATTATATTGAATCTATAGCAAATTCAAATTGTACTTATATAGGATTTTACTGCAAAAACTACACAATGTTTTTAAAAGGTATATGCACGTCTTGTGATATTTACACGTCTCCCTCATGCGCTGAACTTGGATTAAACACTTCTTTTAACGAATCTTTATTTCATTTACCCTGTTCTACAAAGTACTACTTCAGGACGGGCTCATCGGGAACATATTGTTTAGATTCGTATAAATTAAATTTTTTTCTGAAGCCAGAAACCCTACTCAAATTATGGGATATTTTAATGTTAATTTGACGAGTGGCGACCTTGTAATCAATATTATTCTGAATGAATTCAGATTTTATACAGAGATTGATTTATGCGTAGAAAATTATACGTTCGTTGCATGGTCTCAACTACCTCCGTCTATGGATTACATAAATTCTTCTAGATTTAAATGGAACTATGAAGGAAGCTCACTAAGTATTACCAAAAATAGCCAAGTTTATATTAAAAGCGTAACAATTTCACGCATTACAACTGATAAATCAACACTTAATAGATTATGTCCGGAGGAAATACATGGCTATCAACTGAGACCAGGACAAGTGGCACCACGATACCACACGTCCGGGAAACTTTTTCCGCAAGAATAAACACTTCACTTTTTCAATTCGTATTCACTTCAATCAAGAATTCAAAGATGGCCCTTTTCTATTTTCCTATTTTTTTTTTAATTTTTAATTTATAATTCTAAAACCGCACGAATTGCATTATTACACAATATTATCTATGGCTAAACCCGTCTTTGCCAAAAACGAATCAGCACGTCTCTCCCAATCAATAGGAGTCGAATGTTTCTTGAATCGTACAAATCGATTGATACGTGCTCTCGAAATCATGAACAAAACTTTGTATCCATACAAAAACATACCACTTTTTATTAAGGTATGCCAAAATGTGCAGCAGATCTTGAAACGTAAAGATATATGCAAAAATTTCAATTTCGATTTTTTATGATTACTATAACCCACCCTACGGAAAGTTAAAGGCAATAATATACTACAAATGCATGAACATATAATTATTAAATTTGATTCTTTTTAATTCGCGGAAAAGAAGTTCGCGTTTTTTTTTCAGAAAATTCGACGTGTAATTTTATGTCTTGTTCACGTTTCATATCGTTGTGAATCGTTTAAGACCAAAATTGAAAAAGGCATTTGTTTTGTGTGTCTAATTATCGACGTTTTTCTAAAACCCGTGAATCGATTTCAAAACCATTTCACCACATTTAAAAACCATTCAATGATTAGTTTTACGAGACGATCAGCGAAGCCGATTCATTAGAAAAGGTTAATTATGAAAAATTCTTAAAACTTGAAATAATGGACCTCGCTTTCATTACATAAAGACGTGTGTATAGACATTATGTCGATTATTTTTATATAAACACATATTGAGATGTTCATGCAGCTTGCATAGACTTAAGGCATAGTGCCACTTACGCCTAATTTAAATGTGTGAGAATACATTTGACTGAAATTTTTTTTTGCTGCGTGGTAACAGATGAAATGCTAAAGGGTACTCTAAGAGTACTCTAATCTCGTTGCCGCTACCTCTTGCTCGTATACAACATTTAAGCAAATTGTTGGAACTTTTCATTAAAACAAGAAAACTAGCTGTAAGTGGAATTCTGTTAAGGCAATTAGGGCATCGTGCCTTAAGGCAAATTGCTGGAACTTTCCGTACCAAATATTATTATTTTTAACTTCCCGTAGGGCAAGTTATAGTAATCGCAAAAAAATCGAAAATGAAAATTTTTGCATTTCTCGACGTTTCAAAGGTTTCTGAATATTTTGGCATACCTTAGAAAAAATGGATGTATGTGTGTGTGTGTGTGTGTATGTATGTATGTGCGGATACAAATTTTCGTCGACTATTTCGGGAACACCGATCAACCGATTTGAATAATTCAAAGAACATTTGATTCGTATTGATAATGAGACGTGCTGATTAGTTTTTGGCGAAGGCACGTCTAGCCGTTCCAAAGATACGGGGCAAAAAGTGCCAAAAACGGTAACTCAGTTTTCAAGAGAACGGAGCGTCCGATTTTAATAATTCAAAAAACATTTTACTTGTATTGACAAGGTGAAGAACCGAACAAATTTTCATAAAGGCAGGTTGAGCGGTTTCGGAGATCTAATGAAAAAAGTAAAAAATAATGTCATTTGGCGGTCAAAAATGATCATTAGACATATGCATATAAAATTATCAGATATTGTATAGAGATTTTAACAATAAGTATAAATTTGGTTTACATTCCTATGGGTTCCGTACGAATGTTTACGCGTTAGACGGCGACGCGGCGCTTACGCGCTTTGATATTTTATCTTTATGCAGTTAAAGCAGTACGATTGCTTTGAAAAAAAGTTTAGATCTTCCAAAATGTCAAAATAAAGAAAAATTTTTTTTTCAAAAAAAAATTAAAAAAAAAAAAAAAATTTTATTTTTTTTTTTCAAAAGAAAGTAATTGTTGTCCAATATAGTTTTTCAAACATCTTATTTTTTTGAAGTAAAATTTTTTCAAAAATGTTAATTGTTTTTGAACAAATAATAATTTTTGGTACGGGAAGTTCCAGCAATTTGCCTCAAGGCACGATGCCTTAATTGCCTTAAGACAGAATTCCACTTACAGCTAGTTTCAAAAACGATTAACATTTTTGAAAAAAATTTACTTCGAAAATTAGGATTTTTGACAAACTAGGACTTTGACAAAAAATTACTTTTTTGAAAAAAAATAATTTTTTTGACATATTTTGGAAATTCTGAAGTTTTTTTCAAAGCAATCGTACTACTTTAACTGCATAGAGTCAAAATATCGAAGCGCGTAAGCGCCGCGTCGCAGTCTAATGGATAAGCATTGGTACGGGAACCCATAGGAATGCAAACAAAATTTATACTTATTGTTAAAATCTCTATAAAATATCTGATAATTTGATGTGCATATGTCTAATGATCATTTTTGACCGTCAAATGGCTCATTTTTTACTTTTTCCTCCATATCTCCAAAGTCGTTGGACCTGCCTTTCCAAAATTTTGAACAGTTCTTCATTTAGTCAATACAAATAAAATGTTTTTTGAATTATTCAAATCGGACGCTCCGTTCTCTTAAAAACTGAGTTACCGTTTTCGGCATTTTTTGCCCCGTTTCTTCGGAACGGCTAGACCTACCTTTGCCAAAAACTAATCAGAACGTCTCCTCTTTATAAATTCGAATCGAATGTTTTCTGAATTATTCAAATCAGTTGATCCGTGTTACCAAAATCTTATATCGGCACAGATAGTTTATCAATTTACTTTAAAGTGATCATTAATTAACATGAGTGTAACTTTACTGTTGCATATAGTTGTTGTTTGTAAAAATATATCATATTAAATTAAAAAATCAAGCATAAATAATTTACACAATAAATCATTTTATTTAAATTCATGGTACATAAGTGTCAATTAGAATATATAACTTTAAATATATTCACATAATTTCTGTATTTAAATTTTAAACATGATCAATGATAAAATAAATATAATTGTAATACACGGACTACAATGTCTACAAATCATACACTCTGTAATTATTATAAATAATTATTCATCTCTATGTACATGTTCATCATTTATGCACAAAGTAAAAAATTAAATTGAAATTAATTATTCATAAGAAATTTCAAGCAATATTTGATCCACATACTGCAAAATTTTTACGTGGTATCCTCTCGTGTTGCAGTTGTCTTGTTGAAGCATTCAATTATCTGAACAAGACATCGTCCAAATTCTTCTAAAATCTCATCGATGACTTTTTCCTCCTTGGAGTCATTTTTAACTGCTTCATCTGCTTGTGCTAACAAGCATTGGCAGGTGGCTTCAATTACATCAGGAGTTATATAGTTAACTGGCCATCTGCAACAAAATGATTAAAAGAAGTATTTCAGATATAGTTTTCAAACATTAAAACCATTTGTCATACTTATAGTTCTTTGACAAATCTCTTCCTAATACACCCCATCCATCTTCCTCATTAGATGCAAACTTCTTATGCTGTAATAAATTAACAGTTGAGTGTTTTCAAAATATAATTTGAATAATATCATTCCCTTAAACAACATAGCAATAAGAGGGTATCATAAGACCGTAAACAAATATATCAAAAACAAACAATAATAAAATAAATATTTAGAGATGGGTAGGCTTACACCAGTTAAAATTTCATTATTCATCAATCACAGATTTGTTTTTACATTACATAAAATATTCCTTTATTAATATTTAATTACAAATTTAGTACATCCAAACGTATGAAACCAGTGTTTTACTCTCGAAAGTGCTTACCGGTCCATCTAGTTCTTCAGCCCAACTGCGTTTCCTTTCCAAACAGTCTTCAATATTTCTGCATCCAACACATTTGCAGTTATTTGAGCAAGCAATTTTTGCCTCAAAGCATTCACAGTAATTTTTAAGACATCCAGATCTCTTGCAATTACAACCCTTATTATGTCTTCTAATAGTTTCTAAACCTGGGTCCTTAGCTTTCCCAATTTTTGGCCTATTTGATAAAGACATAATTAAAAAAATTTAAGAATTCACATTAATAAACAAATATTAAATTCTATCCAACTCTGTGTCAAAACAATTGTATTTTGTTTGTTTTAAACTTAACCAAAAACAAATGCAAAGTGGTACCTAAAGAATTTTATTTTATTTGTCAAAGTAGGCTTTCAAGGAATAAAATTCAGATATATAACATTAATTACAACAAAATAAATATTGTTCAGTTTCTTATGAAAAAACTAAGAAAACTTGCTTTATATGTAAAATATTAGAATAATGTTAAACAATTCACATATTATAAACAAATTTTGTATCAAATCAGCAAAGACACTAGTACACAAACTATCAAATTCTTATAAAATAAACAAATATATAAATTCATTGTTAATATACTACCTAAATGCACTTGGATTTCTATCCAAACAACTTCTAATAGCTTTCTGCCTTTCGTCTTCATTTTCAATATTATTCATACAATCTTTACAATTGCACATATTACAAAATTCTCCATTGGCAAAACAATCACAGTAAAGTTTCAAGCATTGAGATCTCGTGCAATTACAGGGCTTACGTGGTCTAATGCCTGGGATTAAAGAGATGCAATAAACATATAGAATAATACAAAATTTAAATTTTTCATTACCATTAACTTCAATAATATCCTTTCCTCTTTTATCAATAAGAGTTAAATTCTCTAAACTAAGTTCTCTTTTCACTTCTTGTTTTAAATATTTGAAAATTGGTCGTCCATAGATAGGTAATCGCTCTTCTATCAGATCTTCAGGATCAATTTCCATTGGTGTTTGATATTTGTTATCATCTTCAGAACTTCTCCTTTTTGGTATGAATTGTGCTATTATGGAACAGAATATAACAACATAAATATTTAATATAGTTTTCTACCATAAACTAAAAATACTAGAAATGACAGCTTTTCACTTTTATAAAATGTTAGTAAAAATAAGTTTCAGACATATATAAATAAAAATGTAAACTTACATGTTGCTTTAATTTCTTTACTTGGATTTTCTTTAATCTGTTTCATAATATTTGTTGCCTGAAGTTGATCAAATTTTAATTTAATATTATTATTGATTTATTATTAAAGTGAATTAAAATACAAACTACTCACTGCTGAAGTACTAGTGGAAGTGGCACTACTCATTGTACTTGGTTTCGAAGTCATAATAGTATCATTATATTTGTTAACACTTTTAACCATTGTAGGTTTGGAAGTCACTAAAGTTTTAGTACCAGATAATGCAGGTCTAATACTAACCACAGTACTCTTCATTGATTTTATACCTGGCAGCGCTTGTTTTAGTACAGGTCTTGTAGTAAAAGTAGTAGTTTTTTGTTGCACTTGTGGTTGAACAGAAGTCGATGTAGGAGTTGTATTGCTCACAAGGCGAACATATTGAATTCCACGGCCAGGAACATTTATCTGATGAATTTGACCACTTGAAGTATTTTGCCCAGATTGAATTTTTATTACTTGTGGGACTTGCGATGAAGTAGAAGTTTTAACAGTAGGAACCTGTGTAGTCGTTTTTATTGCTTTTATCAATGATGTTGACATAGTAATAGGCTAAAATCAATTATTATTATTAATTATACTAAAATAAAAACAAATGATATGTTGAACAGTTATTAACACATAGATGTTACAATATAAAATAAGCTGATGAGATATGCAGGAAAATTCTGTATAAAAAATACAGAATCATAGCCAGCTATGTGAATAATATCATAAAAACTATATGAAAATGCTTACCTGTACTGTTGCACCAACAGATTTTGTAGCTAAAATTGTTTGCTTAGCTACTGGTCTAATATTAGTCTGTTTAATTATAATATTTTGTGGATTGATGCCCGTTTTTATTGGAGTTATACCATGTGATGGAGCAGGAAGTATTTTCATAGGTGCCTTAATTCCAACTTTTGCAGTAGAAGATACAACTTGTAATTTATTAGCATTACTGCGTATCAAGCCCATATTTTGTGCTTGTGCTAAAGTAATAGTCTTAGTTGGACTAGTCAGTTTTATACCACCCGCAACAGATGTATTCAGAGGTAATAACTTAATAGCATTTGATTCTGATGCTTGTGATGATCCTAGTAGAACATGATTATTACCCTTCACTATTACTTTTGTCAATAGATTTTTACTTATTGGGGCCGGTGCAATCTTTTTGATAGCCGTTGTAACAACTTTTGGAGGGGCTTGTCTCAACTGCATAACACCATCTGATCTCTTCACAAGCTGAAAGCTCCCTGTTGGAGCTGATGCAGAATTACTACTAACTAATCTCATGGTTGGTCCAGTTTGAGAATTAGGTCCTTGTATAAAAACAATTTGCTGTCCTGATGCTCCACCTGAAATATTGTAATTATAAAATTCATCTTTAATAACTATAACATAATATCAGATAATAATACAATACCAATTAATTTTGAGACTGCAGGTTTGGGAGCTATTGTTCTAGCAGTAGGAGCAGTTTGAACAATAATTGGTTTTTCCTCTATTTCTGGCACTATAACTTCTTCAACTTCAGGTTCCTGCTGTTGCAACTGTTCTTCACTTTGATTTTCTTCACTTTCCATTGTTTCTAAATCAGAAAAAATAATTCAATAATTTAATACTATATCAAGATAATGTTTACTCTGCCTGCTACATTATAATATAATAAAAAACGATATAGCTATTTTGAATGCATTTAATACAAAATATGTAAAAGCGATAAATTTGATTGTTATTCGAAAAATCACTGAAGTAAATTAAACATAAAAATAATCAAAGAATTTTGCAGTACTGACCTCTTTGTACTTCCTCACCTTGATATTGTTCAAGACCTTGTTCCATTGGTTGCAATTCATCTAAGGCAATGTAATCATATTGTTCGATCGGCTGCAAATCATCTTCTAGCATATCAGTGACTTCATTTAGCATAACATGAGCCATGTTTTTATTGTCCTTTTTAGCATCTGTAATATTTATATAATACATTAATTTTAGTACATATTGTTTACTATAAATTAAAGAAAAGTTTCCTCAATAAATAAAATAATATTTCAAATTTAGCTAATATTTTTTGTCCACTATATTATGCAAATTTCACTGTTCATATTTCAAACCTGTTTAACAAAATATAAACAACAATTATAAACATATTTCAAAATATAAACAAATCACAATGTATTCATATCCAAATAATAAGTTTCTTTAACATGAAGTAAATCATCATTTATTATAAATCTTTTAGGTATATTCAGATATTTATTTGAAATTATGCTTAACACAATGGCGCTTATAACCTACAAAATTCAAAAGTGAAATTCATATAAAATCTACCAGGGGGTGCATAGTATGGAATTCAAATTCAAAAAAAAGTTGATATAAATAAAGCTAATTGTAATTCAATATTTGTTTCCAGTACATACATTTCTCTTACATCAGAAACGACTTATTGGCATTACCTGTTTCCATTTCCATCTTGTCAAGAATATTTACAAGAAATTTAGAGTTATTTGTGCAGTATACGTCACTATCAAAAGTTATTTTTCATAGGCTAATAATCTGCAAAGGCCCAAGAATTTTAATTTAATTGATCAAACACATCATTAATTGTAAATTAGTTATACGCATTTTAATCTTTGAATAAACGTCTGTTATTAAGTTTATTCTAAATATTTTGGCGGCTGCAACCAGCCATGTAAACACTATTGTTACCTGTAAATACCAACCTGAGAAGGAAAATTTCAAATATGGTTTTTCAATTAGCAAGGGTCAAAGAATTAGTGAATATCACAATCGGAAAGTGTTTAATTTATATTGTTTGTAATAAATTTATATAACGAATACTTATTAATGACAGAATTATAGCTTTTGAAATTATGTAACTTCTATAGAACTAGCAAATATTTTTAGTAGATAAAGGTAGAAATATATAATTATTTTCTGCTATACAAAGAGCAAATTAAATAATCTTTAACGTGTTTGATTATGATTGAATATGATAATAATGTAATTAATTTTTATATCATAAAAAAACCATATCATAAAAATAAATTGCCGTTTCAGACACATAACCATCAATTTTGCTTTAGACTCTGTTTATTTTTATATTGTTGGTACTATCGAATGATATTGACATATTTGACAGTATTTCCATAAAATAAATAACGTGAAATGAATAATCCAACCTTAAAGTTAATTAAACATAATTTATTTTTGTAAAACTTTCAATAAGTGTTTTAAATTAAAAAAAATAGTTATTTTTTAAAGGGAAGCTTTGTCATGGCTATGTCAGCAAATGTTGTCAGAAATCAACTTAATAGTTTAAGTGGATTTAATGGAACTCATAAAGAACAAGCTGAAAAGTAAATTATAAAAATATTGTTGAATTATTAATTTTTTTTATATTATTGTACTTTAGATATAGGTCCTTGCTGGAAGCTGTGGTTACTAATTCTGGAAATGAAATTGTTGACTGTTTAAAAGTCTTTATTGAAGCGAGTAAGTTGTGAATTTAAACTATATAATTTAACAATCGACATTGATTATTATCCATTTTAGTTGTAAATGAACATGTTAGTTTAGTAATATCTCGACAAATATTAACTGATGTTAGTGTTAGATTAACCCAATTACCCGATGATGTTTCAAAATCTGTTTCACATTATGCCCTGGATAGAGTGCAACCTCGAGTAATATCCTTTGAGGAGCAGGTATAGTGACATTAATGTTCTGAAACAGATAGTGTTCTAATGAATAATGAACATTTAATTAGATAATTTTACTTTAAGGTATCTAGTATTCGCCAACATCTAGCTGATATTTATGAAAGAAACCAAAATTGGAAATGTGCTGCAAATGTTCTTGTGGGAATTCCATTGGAAACTGGTCAAAAGTATTTCCATAGTTTATACATAGTGTGGAACTTGCATTAACTTGCTAAAGAGATAACTGTTTTATTTTTCTATTTATATTTATGAAGTAAAATAAATGTAGAATAAAATAAAAGTTCAAACTTCTGAATTACATGGTTCTAGCTGAAAGATATATTTAATAAATGAGACAAAATCATCTGTGCAGGTTCTACATATGTCTTTATAATTAATTATTTTCTATAAAACCATTTATTTTATTAGGCAATATTCTATCGATTATAAATTAGAAACATATCTGAAAATTGCTCGACTATATTTAGAAGATGACGATTCAGTACAAGCTGAGGCATATGTGAATCGAGCATCTTTATTGCAAGCAGAAACAAAAAATGAGCAACTTCAAATTTATTATAAAGTTTGCTATGCGAGAGTTTTGGATTATAGAAGGTAATGAAAAGATAATTGATTATTGTTTTTATATTTCATACATACCTATCTCTTAGAAAATTCATTGAAGCTGCACAACGTTATAATGAGCTTTCGTACCGTGGAATTATCCATGAAGATGAGCGTATGACTGCTTTAAGAAATGCCCTGATTTGTACAGTATTAGCATCAGCCGGACAACAACGCAGTAGGATGTTAGCAACATTATTCAAGGTAAGTTGTTTTCAAAGGTCTTAGCCAACTTTGTGTTTTATTTTTATTTTGCTATCTACTACTTATTGAACTTAAATGTAATTGACATTGACACTAGGATGAAAGGTGTCAACATCTACCAGCATATTCAATTTTGGAGAAAATGTATTTAGATCAAATAATTCGCAGATCTGACTTGCAGGAGTTTGAAGCGCTTTTACAGCCTCATCAAAAGGTAAATTATTTGCTAATTTAATTTATGTGTTATTTTATTTTTGTGTTTGTTTCATTAGGCATCTACTCTGGATGGTTCATCAATTCTGGATCGTGCTGTGTTTGAACATAATTTGCTTTCTGCCAGCAAATTGTATAATAATATAACTTTTGAAGAGTTAGGATCTTTACTTGAAATATCAGCTGCAAAAGCAGAGAAAATAGCCAGCCAAATGATATCAGAAGGGCGAATGAATGGTGACATAGATCAGATAGATCACATAGTACACTTTGAAAGTAAGTATATGTATGAAGTTAATAAGTAGCAGGTTTTTTTTACTATGAAAAAAAATTTCTTTCTGTAACCAATCACCATTCATATTTTACAGCCAGAGATGTTTTGCCACAATGGGACAAGCAGATACAATCACTTTGTTATCAAGTTAATAGTATTATTGAAAAAATTACAGCAGCTGAACCGGATTGGATAGCCAGAGCATTTGATGAACAAATGGTACATTGATTAATGAAAATTAGTGTTTGAAGTTGAAAATAATCTTGTGGCAGTTTATTGAAGTCTTAATGTATAACATTATTTTCATTTTTCATAATTTTGTGCTGAAATAAATAATATTTCAAAATTACATATTAGGATTTGTTTATTTGTAGTTATGTAACCAGGAACAAGTTCAAATAATTCAACATGATATCTTCACGATTTAATCAATATAAATTATTCTGTTCTAACAAAGTTAAAAGTGTAATGATTAATACTTAAATGAAACAAAGAAGTTGTCTTGTTTTATCTTACTCTTATTTCACATCTAAACGGCTACAAACAGTTGTCCAAAAGAATTATAATTTAAGCCTCTAGTTCCAATGCAGCGCCTACTTTGTGGCCACCGCTGTTGAAGTTTTTACCATCGATTTGAGCAGATAATGTTAAAGTGATACCTATAATAAATTAATACTTATAAAATGACTAAAATACAGTTGAATTAAACACACTTTTTCGATGATGATTTTCAAAATGAATTTGTAAATGCTTTTTCACGATACGTGACATTTTGTTGATTCCATAAGAAACTCAAATTATCAAAATGCATTGAACATAAATTTAAGTTTTAATTTTACTAGATGAGAACAAATTATGTAGTATTTATGCATATAACTAAGATTAAATGTTAAAAAAAATGCTAGATGAGATAAGGTTTTGGTTAAAATAATATTACCTTCTCTAAGCTTTTGTTGATAACCAAGCCCTATTTGTGACACATTGTTTACTTTTGCACGAACACAGGCATCATTGTCCAGATTATATTTACAACCAATACCAAAACGTGTGTTGTTCGCACCAGCAGACCAATTCAATTGAATTCCAGTATCCAACTTTGATGAAACTTTTTGATAAATTGAGCCACCAAATTCCTGGCCATCATCACTAAAATTAACAACAAGAATTAGGACTTATTTGTACTCTTTAGATTAACGAATGTTCAATTGGATTAGCTAATCTGGATCAAATTTAATTAAAGTTACAAAATTTATACTATAAATTAAAACAAAGCTTACACATTGGTGTGCAAAATAAAGTCTCCTGTGGAGAATCCAAGGGCAAAGTTGTTCTTTGTGACCTTGGAATTTTCAGAGTCAAATCCAGTTTGATAACCGGCCAACCATCCTTGATAACCAACTACTGCGCTGGCATTGATCAAAGGTCCTGATAAATTCAAATTTACATCAGCATTTACTGCAACACTATCATGTAAGAAGGCAGTTTTCAAAACACCAGTTTTGCTTCTGTAAATTGAAGAAGAATGAGTACTTTGTGATCTATCATTTTATAGATCTATTAATATTCTACTATCTTACCCCGTTTGTGGTGCGAAAGAGCAGTCGAATGATACTTTCAAACCTTTAGCTATTTGATCTTGTATGGAAACTTCTGTAGCTAAAGTATTGTCTGTGTTCCATTTTTCAGAAAAAGTGAGACCGTAATCACTTACTTTGTATTTTGTCTCCAAAGATCCAAATACCTAAAATTTAAACACAAAATATTTTGAACATTTGATTACTGCAACTATATATTGATTTGAGAGTACATTGAGTACATTATGTGATGTATAATTAAAATATTATTTCTGAACTAAAATTTAATTATGAAAGTAGTATCTCAGTTATATAATAACTGAGACATCAAATGAAAAATTGCAGTTATTGATTAATTAACCAATTAAGTCTAGCCACATTTAAGTTTTCTAAATGTTAAAAAAATGTAACATTTAATAAAGCATTTGAACTAATTTATTCAACATGAGATAAATTGAAATCTTATAAAAAAAATTAAATAACATTTGACTGAAATAGTTACACATTTCTAACTTTGAAGAAAAAATGACATTTAAGACAATACAGTTTGAAATGACAGATATCACTTTTGGGTTATAAATGTATAAAAATCTTGTATTATTTGATTTGTGATAGTTTGTATATATTTCACCTTGCCAGTTTCATGTTCAGAAGTTCCTCCTGAAGTGAATTCAACCCCAGAGGCAGTTTTAGTTTTCAAATTCAATTTGAAAAGACCAAAATGATAGCCACTGTTAAATACCTCCCTAGCTTGTTTTCCCAAGTCTGCGTATGGTGGAGGAGCCATTATCTAAATGGAATAAATTTCCATGCAAATAAATTATGCTAAATTAACACCTTTGATAATTTTGTTGCTAAGCTGGGACTATGATGTGACATGACTGGATGACGTAAGGTTAATCAAAATTTGAATTTAAAAGGTCAAATACCACAAAAATTTAAATGACTTGTCTCGGTTTTTTAACAATTAAAAACATATTTGTCAAAAAATTACGCAATATTCAATCATTAATTGATTGTATCCAAGTCGTTACATTTTTTCCACTATAAAAACCCAATATCCTCACAAGTCATTCACACTAGTTATGTAATTTATTTTTAAAAAGGAAACTCGAAGAAACTAAATTTATTCGACACATTTTTAATGCACTATTTGTGAATTAATACTTCGGGGTAACTTTTCTTTTAAACCGATACTTACATTAAATTGGTTACTACGACCCGGCAAAACGAATTCACGTTTAATATTGTAAGACGGGCAAATTCGCTACTCAATGGAAAAGACGTACAATACGTATAACGAAGGACCTGCGAACTGACTATGGTTCGAGGCTATGGAAAATTTATAAGAGATAATTCAATCGAATAAAAAATAATTTCATTTACATTTAGTTCATTTATGATAGCATCATATGTATATTAATAATTTACGCTTTTATTTATTGTGAAAATGCGTCGATACTCTCGAACCGTATTCCAAAATCAATAATGACGTAGCCGCGTGTCATCAGAAAATTGATCAAAAAAATAACACGTGCATTAATTTGTACCGCTGTAAAGAATAAACCAACCCAAATTATATCCAGCTTTTCATTATCAATATTTTCGTTTATTCTTAAATTGTATTTTTTGTATAATACTGTTCCATCATACAACTTTATAGTTGCCATACTTGTCAGTCTAACGCGGAATTTTTAAATGTCACGAAAAATTTTTTTTTCGAGTTTTTACTTACAAGCCGTTCCTCATCAGGATCAAATGAGAATGGCGAGCTTTTCTTTTTTTTGCCAACACAGGGCCCAATCTCTTCTCGATTGCAGATGTCACATTCCTTATTATAATTCACAAATTGTATTACAGGTTTCTTCAAAAGCCCATTTTCCATGATATGTGAAATTAACAGTGCGTGGGCCATCATAAAATATATTTTTTTTAATCTTAATTTAAAAAAACACTAGAATTTACTTATTACATTTTAAAAGATATATAAATTGAAAAATATTCATAAGCACTTGACGATTTTGATTTGTTTTTTGGAAGAAATTTTGTTTTTATTTGATTAAACTACCTTGTCGAAAAATTTCACTTACAGTTAGACAGATTTTTTTTATTTTATTCGAAATTAATATAAAATTACATAATATTAACATTAAAGCTTTAAAAGTAGTATTTCGAATTTATACGAGTAAAAGTTTATATTTACATTAAAATTTGCCGTACGTCATTATAAAAGTATAATATTTTGTTAACACATCTCTGTTATATAAAAAAATTAAATTCTAAAGATAAAAAAATTAAGGTCTAAAGATTTTCTAATACAATAATTTTTTCTTAAATATTTCAAATTCAAAAAATTGTATTTAGTATAATTTATTTTGGTTCAAATTTATAACTTAATAGTAAAGTCAATATCTCTATATGTTTTATTAACTACCCGAAGAAGTTTGTGCCAGAAAATACGATAAGCTAACACGATGTTTCAAGTCATTCTGATTCGTTTGAGACCAAATTTGAAAAAAAGTATTTGTGTGCACGTGAGCCAAGATTTGACCATTTGTCCACATTTTTTCAAAAACTGATGCACCGATTTAAAAGATTTAGAGGCATTTGATGTTGACTAGTTTTTCGCTACAATCGGCCGAGCCATTTCTTTAGAATTAGCACAATAATGCAAAATGTTTTGTATATATTTTAGCTAAAAAATCTTGATTTTGAACCGATTTTAAACATTCATAAACTATTCGAAAGATCAATTGGGAATATTGATAATTAGTGTTTGGTACATATTGGCTGGGTTACCTTGCCTTAAATGTTAAAAAAATCTGTTTTGACAATTTTGGTGGAACTTTACGATAATGGAGGTTAACAAACCTCCTTAAACATGTTTGGCATAATGTTGCGTGACAAAATTTTTCAATTGTATCATGACAATTTTAAATGTCGTTAATTTGAATTCTTATTAACTTCCCGTAGGGTAAGTTATTGTAATCGTCCAAAAATCGAAATTGAAATTTTTACATTTTCTCACGTTTTGAAGGTTTCTAAACATTTACCTCAGAAAAAATTGATATGTGTGTGTGTATATATATGTATGGATACAATTTTTCGTCCAGGTTTTTGGGCGCCAGTAAGACTTAATGACGAAATTATAGATCAAACAGATACAGTAAAATATCTAGGTTTACACCTGGATAAGAGACTAACCTGGAAAGAACACATTAAGAAAAAGAGAAAGCAGCTAGAAGAAACCAGAAGAAGATATCATTGGCTCCTTGGACGAAAATCAAAACTCGACACTCATAATAAAATTTACCTCTATAAAGCCATCATTAAACCAATTTGGACATACGGCATACAGCTATGGGGATCAACTTCCAACTCAAACGCTTTAATAATTCAAAGATTTCAAAACAAGTTATTAAAAGAAATTTTGAAAGCACCAAAGTATGTTCCAAATTGGTTAATACACAAAGACACAGGCACTAGTACAGTTAAGGATGAAATAATCGCTTACTCAACAAATATAGAAATCGCCTAGCTGAACACCCGAACTTGCTCGCGAGAAAACTTCAGAACAACTCTACCAGGGCCCGATTAAAAAGAAAATTTCTTCTGCATTAATCAACAATAGATAAGACCTTCAACAATTCACTGTCAATGGTCAGATGATTTGTATTTTGCCAACGCCTTCAGTTTCATGTCAAATATTTTACTTGTTGTCCATTTCAGGACAGTTGTAAAAATTATTAAAATAATAATAAAAAAAAAGGTTTTAGGGCGCACGGATCAACCGATTAGAATGGTTCAAAAAACATTCGATTCCTATTGATAGGGAAATGTGCTGATTAGTTTTTGGCGAAGGCTGGTCCATCCATCGGAGATACAGAGCAAAGAGTGCAGAAAATGGAAATCGACTTTTTGAGAGATCGGAGCATCCGATTTGATGAGAAATGGTGATTAGTTTTTGGCAAAGGTAGGTCCAGCAGTTTTGGAGATATAGAGCAAAATGTGCAAAAAATGGGAGTTTTTGAGGGAACTAAGCGTTCGATTAGAATGATTCAAATAATTATAATATAAATTTTAATAAACTGGTGCATAGTAAGTATATGTGTTATGCAATTTATGTTCATTTAACATTCTATTTATATGGCAAATCTTATACATTTGTATTCCTGAAATATAGATTTCATAGTTTAGATGAAATAATAAATTAAAATAAATAATAAATATTTAGTTAAAATTGAATAATAAAAAATAAGAAAAGGCAAAAATGTGATACTATTTAATTATATAAATCTCAACATTTTTATATGCATTTTTCATTCAATGGCCATCATCATATTGGCGCTTAGTCTGAGTTTGGCGTCATTCTAAATTTATACGTTCTATATAAATAAAACAATCTGTGTTTATTTTACAGTGTACGCGAACGCATTCAGAATAGAGTTAGCTTTAATATTGTGACTATGTCCAACATCGCACGTGCTATTTTTTGGATTGAAAAGTGATCAAGTTTACAATGATAAACGGGCCAAACTTGGATTAAAAACATTACAGATTTCGAATTTTGTGCTATAATGTTCGGGCCTTACAAAGTTTTGCATAACAACGAGGTAGGCAGATTTGTCGTAGCCTCGCGAAGTTTAGAAGCCGGAGAGATCGTATTCAGCGAATTACCATTTGTGGTTGGGCCAAAAATAGGTGATGTTTACATTGTTATTTAGTTAATATTCTGCAACGAGCAATTTTGACAAAATTGTTGATAGATATATCTCATAAAATTGTTCAGCATCAATAATTAGCATGCAGTCAAAATTAATTATATAATATGAAATATTCTTTTCATAATCAACATATTTTTAAATAAATTTTGAAAATATTTTATAAAATTTAATTTGCATAAATTGAATTGATGAAATTGCTTAAAATAATAGTATATTATTCTGCTTGCAAAAATTGCTCTTGTTTATTGTCATTCATAATTATTTCATAATCAACGACAACGGTATTGATTTCATATGAGATTAATAAAGTTTTGCCAATAAAAGATGGCCAAGTGTACAATTTGAATTTTTGTATAATAACTTAATATTAATAAACTACCCAATAATAATAATTATTATTAAAATAGTAAAATTGAACTCGATTGTTCCTCTTTGAAGATTGTCCGCCTGTATGCTTGGGGTGTTACGCACCGGTTGACGGCTGTAGTGGAGGACCACGCTGTGCAGCATGTCAGTGGCCGCTATGTGCGACTTGTTCCAAAGTGGAAACGGGGCATCAGGCAGAATGCTCTGTGTTCTCGTCATCGAAAGTGCGATTCCTGGATGTTCAAGATAATACGGCGACTTGTCCGCAATACGACTGCATAACACCACTCAGGTAATTGAAATTGTTAAACAACCTCCAGTTGCATACACTATCATTATTTCTAATATAATATATAATTTTACACAGGACTCTGCTGGGTTCAGAAACTCAAAGCGATCGTTGGGCAAACGAAGTGGCTGAAATGGAAGCACATGCCGAGGAAAGAAAACAGTCGCCAAGCTGGCACGTGGACAAAGTTAATGTGGCAGGATTTTTAAGAGGCCCTTGTAAACTAACTAATAGATTTAGTGAAGATCTTATTATGCACGTATGCGGAATATTGGAGGTAATATTTTTTTAAATTTTTATATCTTTATGTGATATTTTAGACTTCATATAATGAAGAAGATAAGACATGAAGGATATTAGGTTAACTTTAAAAGGCCCATACAAATAGGACCAGACATGATCACTTTTCAGTATCTGATACGATAGAAAACATTCATACTAAATTATTAGATATTCAAATCAGTCTTTATGGAAAACTTACTTAACATTATAATGTCAAGTAAGTTTTCCATAAAGACTGATCTGATGAATATCTGATAATTTAGTATAAATATTTTCTATCTATTCTATATATCAGTATCAGTGTGGAATAGCTTTTATATGTTAATTATAATTGAGCTGGAGAATAATGTATGCAATTTGAATATTTGATATTATTTTCACATGCTTTATTCATAATAATTGACCAGATATTTATGTTTTTTTGTACTTTTGTAGGATTGATTTAATTTAAAATATTTGTGACTTTGTTTTAATTATAGGTGAATGCTTTCGAAGCCCGGACCGTAATGGGATACAGCGTTAGATGTCTTTATCCAAAATTGGCAATTCTATCTCACAGTTGTACACCAAATACTACACATGCTATACTTCCCAGTCAAGACTATCGGTAAGACAAATTCAATATTAATAAATCAGTCAATCAATTATGAGTTTTTATGTGTAACCTAGAGCTTTATTGAAATTATGGCCATTTTTTGGTTATTGTGCTTAATTTTTATTAATTTTATTCATTTATTAAACTTTGGAACTATATATACATCTATATATATATATATACACACACCCACACACATATATATATATATATATACTCCCAGACCCCCGGTCCTGGGGTCTTCAGCGCCCGCATGCAAGATTTGTTCTAGCGCTCCCCCCAATAATTTTAACTGTTTTAACATTTATCATTAAAATTATATAAATATTTATGTAAATTTGTCAAATTGATTTTTAATTATTCTGGATTTAGTATACAAAAAAATAGATATTGGCTAAAAGCGTATAAAATACATTGATTTTAATTTTATTTAGAAAATCGAAGCGATTTGCGGGTTGACCATAATTAAATATTTTACATTTTCTGTAATAGGTACTAACGTTTGGGTATTGAAACATTTTACTTATTTCATTTTTAAACATAACACTCGTCTTTCATGTTGGATTTTTAAAATTTTATTAACTTCCCGTAGGGTGTTATTGTAATGGGCCAAAAATCGGAATTGAAAATTTTTACATTTCTCGACGTTTTGAAGGTTTCTGAACGTTTTGGCATACCTCAGAAAAAATGGATGTGTGTGTGTGTGTGTGTATGTATGTATGTATGGATACAAATTTCCAGTCACGTTTTAGGGCTTAAGAGTGCAGAAAATAGAAATCGAATTTTTGAGAGAACGGAGTATCCGATTTGAATGATCTAAAAAACATTCAATTAGTAATGATTGGGAGAAGTGTTTATTAGTTTTTGGCAAAGGCAGGCCCAGCCATTTTGAAGATACGGAGCTAAATATGTAAAAAATGGCAGTTTTTGAGAGAACTAAGCGTCCGATTTGAATGAATCAAAGAATTTTCTGCTTGTCTTAACAAAATAATTGATTTTGGAAAAAAAATTTGTTCCAAAATTTATTTTCTATCAGATTGTTGTTTTAAAATTAAATTTTTAACGTATTTTAAATGATGCAAAGAAATTGCATATTTCGTGAACTATAATATTAAAAACAAAACAGATTTATATTTGTATATCTGTATTATTTCTGCTTAGTTAATAATTAAATTTAGTATAGACACCATTAGGTATAAAATAAGCTCACGATTTTTTTCTAAGTTCATTTTTCTTCCATTTTTCATATTTGCTTCATTTCCATAAATCTAACCACGCATGTCTTTAACATTCAAAGTTCATCAGATGCGAAACATTTTCAACAAAAACAAAAGTTATAATTCAGTTTCTTTGTCTTAATAAGCCATTTTTAAGCACTTACCATTTTCTATTTTTCTCTATTATAATTTGTATCTATTTTTTTAACAAGTTTCGTTTCAACTAAATCAGTTCCCAATTTTTCGTCAATAATGCCCAATAATTTAAACTTTTTTAGGTTTGCTATTACGGGATTGAACACTACATAATTTCTTTTTTGATTCCACATCAACTTCAAACAAAGTAAAATTTAATAAGTACATTAAACAATAAGCAGAATAATAATTTATTAATTTGCAGAGTTATTAATGAGTTAACTCAGTCTCCGTATCCATACTTAAGTAAGATTGTTTCTCATAATCTATTAAGTATTCTAGATTTTATAATAAAAAAATATAAATAATTTATTAAAAATTTCATTTCCGAATCTCGTTTTGGCGCCCCCTAAAGCGTACGCCTGCATCGCATGCAAGGCAAGACCGGCCCTGTATATATCTATATATAACCGGACTAATTGTTGTCGATGGGCATTCGGATAATCGAACGTATGAAAAATAATGTTGTGTATTTATTAAAAATAACAATACATACATAGATATCAACGAAAATCAATGTTTATTAAGAAATTAATACTTGCTTGTGCATGTACGTACATATTTTCTTCGATTACATTACATACATGTACTAAATTGCAGCGTTAATCGTCCAAAAATTCGAATTGTAGGTATGTACATACATATATGTAGACCGGTCCTACCTTGAATGCAACGCATGCGAAAAATGCGGGCGCACGCCTTAGGGGGCGCCAAAACGAGATTCGGAAATTAAATTTTTAATAAATTATTTATATTTTTTTAATATAAAATCTAGAATACTTAATAGATTATAATAGACTATAATAGACTATCATTATATAATAGATTATATTAGACTATTATTATATTGTCTAGGATAATAGACAATCAAACTTAGCTATGGATACAGAGACACAAAAAAAAAATCAGTTTGAAATGTGATATCAGTAGAAACAATTAACCGATTAATAACTCTGAAATTAGTAATTTATTATTTGGCTTATTGCTTAATCTACTTATTCAATTTCTTTTTCGTTTGATGTTAAGGTGGAATATAAAAAGAAATTATCTCGTGTTCAATCTCGTAAGCGCAAACGTGCGATTGTTATTGGGCATTTTTGACGAAAAAGTACGACCTGATTTAGTTGAAACGGAAAATGGGGAGTCAGTACTTAGAAAATGACTTATTTATCCTGAAAAATTTTTGTTTCTGATTTATTCAGATGAACTCTGATTTGTTTGTTGGTGACATACGTGGTTCTTTAGGTTATGGAAATGAAGCAAATATGAAAAATTGAATCAAAATTTACTTTGGAACAAAAATTGTTGAACTTTTTTTTTACCTAGTGGTGGCCATACTCCAAATTTAATTATGCAGAAATAATGCAGATATAAATGTAATTAGTTTTTTTTTCAATATATTTCAGAAAATATATGATTTCTTTGGATGTTTTACTAATCTTTCGACAATACTTTTAAATTACTACGAAAATTTAACTTTAAAACAACAATCTGATACTCTGTATCTGATGGGAAAGCAAAGATGAATACAATCGGCCCTTACGATGTCAATGAATTTGTAAATAATGAAAAAATAAATTAAAATAAAATTTAAAAAATCTGACATGAAATACAAGTGTTCTGTTAAAAAAATGAAAGGCTAGTTTTTTTGCTCTTTTGGAATAATTTGCTAAATTGATTTAATCGCATAAGATATAAGTAAAATGCAAAACGCCTCGATTTCCAAATAAATTTAAAATCAATACGCTTTTGGATTCTATTTTTTGTGTACTAAATCCAGAATGATTAAAAATTAATTAAAATAATTTACGTAAATATTTATATAATTTTAATGATAAACTGTTAAAACAGTTGAAATTATTGGGGGGGGGGGAGAGGCTCGCTAGAAAAAATCTTGCTTTCGGGCCCCAGGACCCCAGGATTGGCCCTGCATATATGTATAAATTGTTATATATAAATTGGTCGCGGCTGGTGGTCCGGATAATTGCAAATTCGTATAACGGAGGTCCGGATTATCAAGGTTCTACTGGATATATATATATATATATATATATATATGTTTATATATGTGTGTGTGTATATATATATATACATAACTAGTGGTGTATGGCATCGTGCCTTAAAGCAAATTGCTGCAACTTATCGCACTGTAATAAAATATACGAAGAATATTAAATGTTTTCAAATCTTATTATTAATACTGTAACTTTCATTATTCGTATTTTATAGACAAAATATAAAAGCTTTTTAATATATAAATTGGACTATAATTTTCATATACGTTTACATGAAAAGTAAATAAACAAAACTTAATGATCCCCTTCAAAGGGGAGTTAGAATGAAAAATCATGTCTCATAATTCTAAGAATTATATAAACTGAATTGCAAAGTGAAAATTATTTATTTCAAGTATTATTACTTTCGATATTAAAAAAAATAGTTTTTGTAAATATTTTTTTTTTAAATAAAAAAAATTGTTTATTTGCTTTTTCCCAAAACAATCGTTAACACTAGCACAAATTTTTTTGAATCAATCAAATTGGATGCTTTTTTCTCTCAAAAACTGACATTTTTTACACATTTAGCTCCGTATCTTCAAAACGACTAGACTAATCACCACTTCTCCCCATCATTACGAATTGAATGTTTTTTGAATTATTCTAATCGGAGGCCCGATTCTCGCAAAAACCGAGATTCCCATTGTCTACACTTTTTGCTTTGTATCTTGGAAATAGCTGGACCGACGTTTCCCAAAAAGCTAATCAGCACTAATCATTAGTATGAATCAATTGCTTTTTCAATCATTCAAATCGGTCGGTTGAGTGGTACTCCGAAAACGTCGACGAAAAATTTTATCCACACATACACACACACATCCATTTTTTCTAAGGTATGCCAAAATATTTGAAATAAATAACTAGTTGGTTTGGTATTTAGCCTTGAGGCAAGTTACATGAACTTCCCGATATGTTTAAATAATCGACTTAATCAATAAAAAATAAATTAATTTATGAGTGATTAAAAGTATTCCGAGTGGATTTATTACACATAATTGAAAACGAACGAACACTTTGAATCGGAGTATTTTCTAAAAGCAAATGTTCAAAAATCAATAATTTTTATAATTGAACCAGTTTCCAGGACTTTAATGGTTTATTATGTTCAAGACCAAGTACTCTATCATTATACCAAGTAAATAGTCTAATTTTAATTCTAACAAATGTCAAAAGAACTACTCATTTTCTCAAACTCTGATGAATTTTTAAAATCAAACTATTTGTCGTAAGGCCGTAATATTTCAGTAAGTTCTATAAGACCATGGTATATATCACTAAAAAAAATCCATAAAAATCGGCTTAAATTTTTTTTCAACAGTTAATTAGGGCCGTAATATTTTAGTATGATCTAGAAGACTATAGTATCTACCGTCAAAAAAATAATCATAAAAATCGTCGAAATTTTTTTTAAAAACTTTATTACAAGAAAACGGCCCGGCCGATCTCTACCAAACACTAATCAGCATGATTCCCAACCAATATCTTTCGAACGGTATTTGAATTTTCAAAATCGATTCAGAATTGCGGGCTAAAACGTAGACGAAAAAATTTTCACTTTTCTGCGATTTATAAAGAAACGGCTTGGCCGATCGTCGCACAAAACTGACAAACGATAGTCCTCGTCGAGATTCATCGAATGGCTTTTAAATTTTTGAAATCGGCTCAGCCGTTTTCGAGAAAACGTCGATTTACGGCAAAAAATCTGTTTACACACACACACACACATACTTTTTCCAAATTTGGTCCCATTCGATTCAGAATGGCTTGAAATGTCGAGAAAACATAAAATTAGCGAATCGGATTTTTTGATGAAAACATAAACTTCTCCTTCGGGAAGTTAAAAAAGAGTGCGCGTAAGGTTCACACGCGATTGAAGGGAAACTTATTTGCTACTGTACAAGATGGCATTTAAGTAAAAATAAATACATGATGTTAGCAATTTCGAATATGTTTATTAGTAATATGGTAAAACTCGTGATATATATTTATTAGTGTCAACCATTTCACACATTTATATAATTATAATTAAATAAATTATATATTTATAATAGCATTAAAAATATGTATAATATTTAAAAAAAAACTAGTAGGGCGCATGGCATCGTGCCTTAAGGCAAATTGCTAGAACTTCCCGTACCAAATATTATTTTTTTTAAAAAGATTAACATTTTTGAAAAAAATTTACTTTGAAAAAATTAGATTCTTGAGAAACTATAAATTTTTGAAAAAAAAATTTTTTTGGAAAAAAGACTTTTTGAAAAAAAAATGTTTTCTTTATTCAGATTTGTTTTTCATCTTGTCAATACAAGTAACATGTTTTTTGAATTATTAAAATCGGACACTCCGTTCTCTCAAAAACTGAGTTACCGTTTGTGGCACTTTTTGCCTCGTATCTCCAAAACGGCTAGACCTGTCTATGCCAAAAACTAATCAGCACGTCTCCTTATCAACAAGCTTATTAACAGCAATCGAATGTTTTTTGAATAATTGAAATCGGTTGAACCGTGTTCCCGAAATCGTCGACGAAAATTTGTATCTGCACACACACACACATACATCCATTTTTTCTAAGGTATGCCAGAATGTTCAGAAACCTCTGAAACGTAAAGATATATAAAAATTTTTATTTTCGATTTTTTGCGATTACTATAACTTACCCTGCGGGAAGTTAATAATGTAATTAAAGTCATACTTCAAATATGACATGATCGGTTTGTCATCGTAATTATCATTTAGAAATGAACCTTCATTATAGAGATATGAAGTAATTGCTGATTAATAAATTCTATAATATTCGTTCACACAGTGGATTATAACAATAAACAACGCCTGAACAAATATTGTTTTCACAACTTCACTCTCATGTAATTGTGTTTGAAGAATTTTATGTAATTAAAAGTAACATACATTCATTTACTGCTTGTATTTTTTTTACTTTTTCGCTGGCGATATAATCTCATTCTTTGAACAGCTGTAATATCTGATGTCTTGCCTAAAAAATATTTTCCATTTTAATAACTGTAAAGAAACTACGAATATAATAGCAATAATTTCTAATCAATAAACTTATCTTATTAATAACTTATTAATAATCAATAAACAAAATATTATACCATGTTCCTTGAAAATAATAAAACAAATTAAACATTTATACTGAGCGTAATAACATGGTATAATATTCTTCTGATTCAGGCATTTTTAAATCAAGATTTGTACTACGATGTAACTTCAAAATGTTATGCATATTCACATATGCGACGACTAACCACAAACGACTAACCAAATGAATATCATCAAGAGCGAATGACGAATCATTGGCACTCAACTCTTGTCTTATCTTATTTGCCGTAACGCATTTCCGTTGCATTTGTATCCCAGTCGCGCCTAAAGAAGTTTTACTTCAATAAATATTTTCAATGTTGAATTAAGCTTTTCGCTTAGGTCTGGTCTAGAAATAACATAAATTAATTATTTTTGTTTTTCATTTTTATTTTTGCTGATATTTTACAATTAATTTTTTTTTTAAGAATAGCTTTATACTTAATTTACCGAGTTATTTGGCATCGCGGTGATTCGTTTGCATCGTTGCATTTATCTGCAATAACTACGTTGCATTCGCTTGATCAAACTACACATCCAATGCCAAAGCTAATAATTATCATAGGTAATTACAGGGTAAAGCTAATATAATTTACCATAAAAATACGTTTATGTATTATATATAAAAACCGTTATTTTTTAACTATAAGAAAAACGGACGCAAATGTTTGTGCGCTTTCAACTAAAATCCTACTAAATTGTTTAATCAAATGCTATTTAATATGTACTAAATGAATTAAACAAAACTATATAATATAATTATTATAGCTTAAGCTATAAGTTAACAGAACTATGTTTTTCTTTAATATATGGTTTCATATAAATGACTTCATACTGACAAATTTAGTAGTAAATCATTTAATTTAACTATCACGATGAGTAAGATATTATATAATATGCAGATTACATATGTTAAACACTAATAAGAAGACGAAGAATAAATGAATAAATAAAATTGATTAACCGTAAATTATTATTTCAGTGTATATGTGCGGACAACAACAAAAGTTAATAAAGACGACAAACTACATTCGTGTTACACTTACACAATGAATCGCACCATTCAGAGGCAGCGTCACGTCCAGGAGACCAAATACTTCCAATGCAAATGCGAAAGGTGCCGCGATCCCACCGAACTTAATACTAATATGAGCTCCATAAGATGCTCACGTTGCGAGCACGGCTACGTATTATCAGAAAATCCATTAGGTACCTAATATTACCGGTGAATAAATTAATTCATCATTTATTCCAACGGCAGCATCTTAAAACATAGTACACATTTTTTATTCAACACGCACATTTTACCAAAGGTTTTTTTATATAATATGTACCTACAATGAATAGTTTGTCTACATTCCCATAAATTTCCATATTTCACAACCTTATAAAATCGGTAAATAAATCAAATGTCGCGACTGCATTCGGTTTTCTAATTATTTTACAGATGTTCTTCAAATTACAGATTTTACTTCAAATTGGATTTGCAAGTCTTGCAATCAAGCAACAAGTGCCGTTGATATTGAAACAAGAATGCAAAAATTTCAATTTGAGGTGGATAGTCTGGATGAAAGCTTCGGAGGTGTGAAAGTTAGGGAAGAATTATTTAAAAAGGTATTGATTTAATTTCATTTTTAAGTGCTGTATACAATATCTTATTGCTGACTATTGCGAAATTTTAACCCTTAACATTGGTTAATCAAGTATTATATTTATGGAACTTAAACAATTATTAGTTTTCTTAATTAAAAATTAATAAAAAGAAATCAACTAATTTCTAAATTAAACATATATTCTTTTCTTAGTAATATTTCATTACTGTATAGTTAATTACAGTTGCAGATGTTTTTGCATCCACAAAATGCTTTACTCATCTCTCTGTCCCATTCTCTGATACAATTATATGGAAGAGCACCAGGATATCAGTTCAATCAAATGAGCGCAGATCAGTTAAAACGGAAGGCAAGTGTGAAAGCGCAAATGATACTTATAGTAACAATATTTAAATCTGCACAATCAAATCAATGTAAAACATTTCTAGATAGAACTATGCAAAGATGTGTTACAAGTACTTGATATAATTGAGCCAGGTTTATCAAGAGCTAGAGGTAAGTAAACATAAATACAAAATGTAATTAATAAGCTTCGAAAATAAGAATTAACAATAAGTGTTGTAAACTATAAATTCAATATTCGAATATTTTTAAAAATGTGTTTACAATTAGAAACATTGATAATAATGCAATAAATAATCGTAATATTTTATATTCTATTCTGCATTATTAAAAAAAATCTATTGAAATTTATAAACAAACTTATCAATAAAGTGTTTTTTATTCTAGCTCTGACTATGTATGAACTTCATACACCTTTAGTAATATTAGCAAAACTAAACACTAAAAATAATTGCGATAAATCTGCAAAAAATAATCTAGAAAAGGCTTTGAAAGAGGCACGAGATCTCTTAAAAGGTTGTTGTTTAGTATTAAGTTGGGAGGATCCAAATTCACCTGAGGGTATAATTAGCATGGTGGCTAAACAATCGTTAAAGATAATAGAGGAACAGCTTGGAAAAACATAACACAATTTAAAAAATGAAGGTTTCATTGAAAAAAATATTAGATAAATTGTGATAAATATAATATAAATAGAAATAAAATATTTCACTATATTTACAAATTATTAGGGCAAATAAATTGTATAATATATTAGCATATTTCAGAATATATTTCCGAATTATTCTATCAACAAATGTTCTGAATTACAATAATCCTTTGTCAATATTGAATAATTGTAGATTATGTCATAATTAAGATAAATATCAATAAATAAATTTTTATATATTTAAAATTTAATGATATTTTTATTTGTTTTCGATGCATTAGAAATAGGCTTTGCATCATTTTCCAAACCTTCTATACTAGAGGCATTCGTTGAAAGAGTAATAGCTCTTTCTTCATTTTCTTGTTGATTTTGTGGGCAATCTTTCTTCAAATGTGTTACACTGCCACATATTCTGCATCCACCACCCTTAGGATACAGACCTCTAGGATTATCAGGACATTGTCGTGCTATATGACCCTGAAATTTTTCATGAATTCCATAACAAAATTATTATTTCTATACATTGTAACACGTGCACAAAAACAAAAACTTTTCATGAAAGCATTTGTAAACATTATTGTTTGAATCATGAGTTTGACATATATTTATGGAAGTTACCTTTTCTTTACAAATGAAACACTCAGCAAACTTGAACTCTTGTGTATGTACGACTTTGCATTGAAAATATGTATGTTCAGTACTCCCACACTTAAAACATATTCCAGTACCTGCAGTTTCTACGCCAGATGATGTTTGTCCTAGTTCAGGGCACTCCGATAGAACATGACCAGATTTTCTACAAAATAAATCATTTTTGTTATATAACTTATTTATGAAGTCAATATATTAATTAATAAAACTTCATACCTGCATTGAAAACAAACCTTCTTCTTTTCTCGAGCAAATGCCTTTTCTGCTCTACGTCGTTCTTTTAACATTGTTGTTTTTACTTCACTTTTCGGTATACCTTTAAAATATGATAATATGAATTTAATCAACTCTCTAAAGAAAACACCAGTAAAATTTAATTAGATTTTAAAGAGTAAATAAAATTTTGCTAAATCTTGAACTTCAAGTTCCAATGTATTTTATATTAATTTAATATTCAATTTTCTCACCTTTTGAAATAAGAGATTTTCTCAAAGCCACTAGCCTCTCAAAATCCTCTTTCATGACTGGAAAGCCATCATATTTTATAACTTCAATAAATTTTCCATTCGAAAATATCTTTTCAATTTCTCTATTAGGTTTTCTACTTTTATGTTCTTGATTATCACGAACTTTTGCCAGCTTTTTCTTATATGGTAAACCTTTCTTATTATACAATATTTGAGATTTATTTCCATCATTTCCTTTTGCTGGGCTATTATTTTTATTATTGCTTTCACTTTTATTAATATTTCCATTCTTAATTGTTTTCTTTTTAATATTTGAATCATCAGTCTTCTTAATAGATACTTCTTCGGGAGCTTCGTCACTGTCATTTTCTGAACCAGAATTTTGTGGTTTCAATAAAACATAGTTTTTTTTCTGTTTACCAACTTTCTTTTTGGCAATTTTTCCTTTATTCACCTTTGACAATGAACCTTGTTTTTTACTTTTGCTGTTACTTTCATCATCATCATCTGAAAAAGCACACCACTCTGTTTTTTCTTTAGATTCAGAAGTTTTTGAACAATTACTACCATTTTTTTGTCCAGTATGAGCCTATAAAATTAAAATATTAAAATTTATATAAGAAATAGTTGTAATCAACTGAAACTTTTAATAGAAAAAATGTATACATCAAGACTATTTTTTGCAGGAGATTGACTTTTATTATTATTTAATTGTTGCTTCATATCAATCCAAGAAGATGCTTCTTCTGGAACACGTTTATTAGAAGCCTTAGAACCATCAGCTCGAGCAAAACGTGTCATATTTGTATATTTACAAAATGTTTAACAATCTGAAATAAGAGTAATTGTCATTAGAGAATGGTCACATATTTTGGCACAGATCTTATAAAGTAAAAAAATTAATAATGATAAATATGACATTTACATTTCAAATATTATAATAGTTTATCACCAAAAACATTTATTAAATCATCGGTTAACTTAAATAACCTCAAAACGTTTATCGCATGTCTAACAAAACGTGAGCTCGTGAGATCGTGAATCGTGCAAGCGAGAGAGAGCGCTAGAGTAGAGACATCAGTTCTACCAACTTACGATTATGTAACGATTTGATTTTCAAAATGCAAAAAGCAAAAAACTGAAAATTTCACTGAAATCTGCATTAATTTTGATTAGGTATATTATACGTATTATTATTAATGTATTTTATGATACATATTTTCCAATATGTTTATATCTACTGATGGTGACATGAAATTATATGTGATACGTATGGAAAAATAAATAATTTGTTTGAATGTGGAAGCCAGATTGAAAAATTTATTACAAAAAGCTGATTTTTTTCATTTTTAACTTCCCGTAGGGTAAGTTATTGTAATGGGCCGAAAATCTAAATTGAAAATTTTTACATTTCACGACGTTTTGAAGGTTTCTGAACATTTTGGCATACCTCAGAAAAAATGGATGTGTGTGTATGTATGTATGGATACAAATTTTTAATCACGTTTTCGGGCGCACGGATCATCCAATTTGAATGGTTCAAAAAACATTCGATTCTTATTGATAGGGAGATGAGCTGATTAGTTTTTGGCAAAGGCAGGTCCAGCAGTTACGGAGATAAAGAGCAAAGAGTGCAGAAAATAGAAATCGAGTTTTTGAAATAACGGTGCATCCGATTTGAATGTTCTAAAAACATTCAATTAGTAATGATTGGGAGAAGTGTTTATCAGATTTTGGCAAAGGCAGGCCAGCCATTTCGAAGATACGGAGCTAAATGTGCAAAAAATGTAACATTTCGTTACGGTACGGGAAGTTCCAGCAATTTACCTTAAGGCACGATGCCATATACACCCAACTAGTTTTGTTTTGATTTATACGATATAAAAAATTCATTATAGTTCATCATTATAATAATGTAGATGTATTATTTCTAATTTTAATCTGATTATATATATTATACTCATTTAATATACATATATTGCGTCATTTAGTATTTATCAAATATTTACTGCAGTAAAATTCATATATTCAGTTATATATGTTAAAAATACTTTAACCGCTAAAATCGTACTTGCTTTTGATATTAAAATACTTCAAGGTCATTTTTGCAAATGAAATTACAACTATTTTTTAAAAAATTAAATAATACTCAATATTTTCTTCATGCATAAATTAATTTTATAGAAATAGAAGCAAATTAATACATTTTCATTATCAAATCAACATTATTGAAACTATATCAATATTTTATTTACTAGCAGAGTACGCACAATGATGCAATGAACCAAATATAAATTTATATAGTTATGCATTTTATATAATGCATGGAATGCAATATAAATATAATTATTATATGTGTTAATTTAACCTCTTAACTTACGATTTAGATTCGAAAATGTTGGACCAGAGTTATACAAGTTGGCGCAGCGTTCGTGACTATTTCGCACACAGTGTAGTTTATCACAAAAATATAAATAATTTTGTATTTTACAGTTTCTTATAAATAAATATTTTGTAATACTTGCATTTGCCGCATCTGGCCATGCCCGCAATGCGTATTATTTGCTGCTGGCCCAATTACCGCGGCCCTGCTCGTCATTGTAATTTCAGGGGTTAATAATATACACTGAAAACAAGTATCATGAATTGGCCACGCCCATCAAAATTTTTTTTTTTCATTTTCATTTGCATAAATAAAATAGGATGGTATTTGAATTATCAGGCTGTTTATTGGTTTATATTTGATAAATATAATGATCAAATAAGTCAATACTATCACATAAACTATATATTTCATTTACATTTGAACTTTATATGGAACATTTGGAAACTTAACTAAAAAAATAAGTAGATGTCAACACGTTGTTCAAATCAAAATTGCCTCTATGTGGGAGTTTTCTAAGAATCCTGTTCAGTTTCCTTTTTGTTTGCTCAATCACAGATCCATCATTCTTGAATTCTCTAAAAAAATTGAATGATATAGTACTCATTGCAAATTTTTTATGAGATTTCTAAAATCATTTTACATACGTATCTGAATAACTATATTTCTCCATTAAATACTTTGATAAATCTTCTAAAATTGGTTGTGAATGTAATGCAACAAATTGTTCTCGACATATCTGTAAAAACAAATATTCATAACACAAAAGTTTCATGAGATAATTAACAAGTATCTTCCAATATTTCCACTAACCTTATTCATTACAGGAATGGTACAGGGGTGTGTCCAGAAGCAATCATGAACTGACACAAATGTTATACCTGCATGTTCACAATGTAAAGATGTCAGCATCATGTGACTTGAATCTAGCGAATGTATGAAATTTGGAGGAAATGCATTTTTTTGTTTCATTACATTAGGCCGCCTAAAAAATAATACAATCAGATGAAATGCTAGTTCCAGATATCTGATAACTCAAATGTTACTCTAAAATTATTAGTACTCACTCGAAGATGTCCAATGCAGCATTATCTGTTATTTTATTATTTGTAATGTCAACCTTCTTCTGTGATCTGTGATATGGTTGCACTATGGGCAATCCTAATGGTGTAACCCATTCTACATTCTGACCACATACAGCGCTAATGAGTCTGAAAATAAACACATAATGAATATACATAAATTATATTTTACATAATAATTTTCTGACAGAATTACCTCGCACATTCTGTAAACCAATCTTGAATTTCCCTTGTTGAAGTAAACATTTCTCGTAGGCTTTCAAATGTTTTATGTGTTAAATATGAACTTCCTGCCCACACGTAGTCTTTTGGAAAATCATCAATATCTACAAACATTATAAACATCTTAACATGAATTGTTCTTAGAAAGTTACATTTAACCCAATATAACTACCTTTCAACTGCCTTGCAATTTGCAATCTGGCACCAAACCTAGTCACTCCATAAACAGTCGTCATAACAGTTTGTTTAATAACTTTCCTTTTGACAAATCCTTCCAAAATTTGAGCAACTTTTACATCATTTTCTGCATCTTTTGCTCTAGTTTCTTCAACCATTTTAGCAACAGCACTATATACATCCTGAGGTTTAGATTCAGGCATTAGGTTCACACTGTATGCACCAGCGGCATCTCTACCAAGAGCAGCATAGTGTTGAAGACCATTGCAAGACCCATCTTGATGCACAGGAAAATGGCTTATGAATTCTATAAGAATAGTTCTATTTCAGTACATAAATGCCAAACAAAAAAAATTATAGATAATTTCAAGTTCTATTAATATTCAATTATTAATATTCAATTTTCAGTGTTACATATTAAATCATACTTTCATGATCAGGGCTTCTGATTGCTTTCGCTATTTCCATACATGTTGCTAAGGTTTGCCATGGCTCATCAGATGCAACCCACCACTGTTTACCCTGAATAAATAGAACATTTGCCAAGTGTTACCGATTTGATATAAAAATAGCAATGAAGTCACAAATCTATATGTATCTTATACTGTCAATGCTACATTCACTTTGAACAATATATTGGAGTTGTATAACAAACATAATATTCACCGTGAGTGGATGGTCTGCTGAATCAAGAATGTCATCCATAATTTCATTTGCATATGCTAATCTCTTTTCAACAGGATCATGCTTGAATAAACCTGTAATAATTGACAACCATTGCTTAAAACATATAACCAAATAAGAATAAAAAGAGTAGAAAATATATAAGAAATAACAGTTGCATCCAAAGAAATTTAGTCATACCTGTTAAATTTATACAATGAATTTTTAACCAATCCAATCCAGTTGGACCTAGGGGTTTTCCCATACCAAAAATTAAAATTGATCTTGCCAAATCAGACCCTAAATGATTCAGATGTGGTGGACATGGATAAACTCTTCCCCTGAAGTCCATATTGTGTGGTAACCAAAAAATTTTACTTCGAAACTGATGAAAAAATCAATTAATATGGTATATAAAACATGTAAGAATATATATTGAATCTTACATGATTTGCCAGTGATAGTCTATATAGAGCATCACACCATAAACTATACATTTCACCTTGTTTTCTTTTTATAGCCAATTTTTGTCTGTAAGCATTGAATTTTTCTTGTTTTGTCAGAGGTTCAGTACTGACATCAGGTAATTTTAATGATGTATGAGGTCGGGGAACATCCAACTTGTCAGATCCTCCACTATTGAATACTTCTAATATGACATCTAAAATCTAAATTAAATATTTCTATATCTTAACATACAATGTATATATTTATATATATATATATATATATATATATATATATATATATACAGTACAGGCCAAAAGTTTCCGGACACATAAAAAATCTCATTTTCTGAGTTTTTAGCTATATTTTTCATATAAAAATAATTTTATTCAAGTTAGTTTTGTACATTCTACGTAGTATTAATATTTAGTGACTGATTTGTAACCAATTTGTGAGAAATGACGGACTAATTAGCAATGAAAATGTTAAAATGTCACAGTCGATTTTCATGAATATGACCACCCTTTGCTTTGATCGCTGCAGCGCATATTTTTGGTAATCTTTTGACAAGTTTTTGCAATATTTGCGCAGGTATGTTCTTCCAGGACTCGTTAAGGCAATTCCACAGGGCAGCAAGGCTGGTTGGATGCAAATCCTTCACGCGGCATTTAAGCTCGTCCCACAACAGCTCTATTGGATTAAGATCCGGCGATTGTGCAGGCCACTCAAAAAACCACTTCTGCGAGCAGTAAATAAACAAAAGAGATTGCAATTTGCCAAAACCCACTTAATTTGGACCATCAATCAATGGAAATCAGTTTTATGGACGGATGAGTCAAAATTCGAACTTTTCGGAAGTCATCGACGTAGGAAGGGTAATGAAAGACTCAATTCTAAGTGTATTTCGACAAAGGTGCAGCACGGTGGTGGTTCAGTGATGGCTTGGGGTTGTTTTGGATTCAATGGAGTCGGATCGCTTGTCAAAATACATGGAACTTTTAAGAAAGAACAGTATCATAGCATACTTGAGCGCCACGCCATTCCATCTGGTTTCAATTTAATTGGTCCAAAATTTATTTTTCAACAAGATAATGACCCTAAACACACTTCCCGACTCTGTGCCAATTATTTGAAGCGAAAACAAGATGAAAAAATACTTCAAATAATCGATCTTAATCCAATAGAACTGTAGTGCATTTGTCTGACTGATTTGCATCCAAGCAGCCTCCCTGCCCTGTGGAATTGCCTTAACGAGTCCTGGAAGAACATACCCGCGCAAACATTGCAAAAACTCGTCGAAAGATTACCAAAAATATGCGCTGCAGTGATCAAAACAAAGGGTGGTCATATTCAGCAAAATCGACTGCAGTGACATTTTAACATTTTCATTACTAATTAGTCTATTATTTCTCACAAATTGGTTACAAATCAGTCACTAAATATTAATACTACGTAGAATGTACAAAACCAACTTGAATAAAATTATTTTTATATGAAAAATATCGCTAAAAACTCAGAAAATGAGATTTTTTTCAAGTGTCCGGAAACTTTTGGCCTGCACTGTATATATATATAAATATATATATATATATATATATATATATATATATACAAATATATATATATATATATATATATATATATACAGGGTGGCTGATAAGTATTGCAACAAAGTAAAACGCTATATTTTTTTCATTTTTATTCTAAAATTTATTGTTCGAAAGCAAAAATGTCAGAAATAACATCAAATTTTAAAATCAGTTTAGATTTGTTCTAGTTTGCCACCTTTGCACCAATTATGGCCTTCAACCGGCCAAAAAAAACCATAACACGCTGCACGAAAGTGGATCTGGGGTATTTTGACCCATTAGCGGCGAGACGTCTTCGTGAGATGATCGACACTGCGGTATTTTTTAGTGCAGACCTTACTCTCCAAAATGCCGCAGGCACAAAAGTCCTACAGATTTAGATCCAGAGATTTTGGTGTCCATTATGTGATGAAAATGAAGCTAGAAACCTCTTTTTTAAGCCATTTTCGGTTGATGCGTGCTGAGTTTGATGGTGCTGAGTCCTTTTCGAATGTCCATGGTCTGCAGCTGAAATGTTTGTCTACCCAAGGCTTCAATACTGCGTTTAAGACATTTTTCCGATTATTTCGACTATTATTTTGATCCCACGGTTGATAAATACGAGCAAAATATGTCATCATTGGCCGTTGCGGTAGTTTACACTATTACCGTCGGCGGCGCTTGAGTTCTGGTGGCCAATCGAACGTGTAAATTTTTAGCCGACCTCTTTGGCAACTAAACCATATCATTTTGTTTGTTCAAAAACTGCTTAATTTGGATGGACTCCTCATCGAAGAAAACCAAATTCGGTAACTAGCCACTTTCGTGCAAGCAAAGCAACTCCTTGGCTCTTTCCCGCCTAACTTTTTTCTGTGCATTGATGAGCTTTTGCACTTTTCGGACTTTCAATGGCTTTAGTTCAAGCTCCTTTTTCAATATGTGCATCCGTTTTCGTGATATATTCTGCTCATGAGCCATTTTTTCACCACTGTGACATGAATTTCAATCAATTTTTGCCTTCACTTTTCGGATCATTTCTGGTATTGTAAGAGTTTTTTTTTTGTCCATTTTTTGGATGATTTTTACTGAGAGTATCACGGTAACGAGATGTGGTACGAGAAACAAAATATTTGCTCGCATTTAAATACTGAAAGGCTCTAACGATAGCCAATTGTGGTTTTTCAGCCAAATATAAAGCAATCACACTATCACGCTGGACTTCCATCACGAATAACTTTTTTTCTGAATGCGATGGATCAAAATGCTTTTGTACACTTGTAAACAACTAAATGAACAATAACTGGAATAAATTTGCTAGCTGTGTGATGAGCGGTTTAGAAATGATAGCAGTCTGAATTTGGTTGCAATACATATCAGCCACCCTGTATATATATATATATATATATATATATATATAAATTTAAATTTAAATTTAAATTTTTGAAAATTTTTCCGTGCTATTTCCATACAAAACTTTGATTGAATTGCGCTCTATCTAAACGTTAATATTAAGAGCTAAAACTTTCAGAGAATTGTTTTTTATCTATTTGGAACCATTTGAGCCCCTGGGAGCAAGGAAATTCGAAAATGACCATTTTAAGGACCACCCTAATATATATATAAATTACCACCCTGTATATATATTATATTATATATATATATAAATCCTTAAAATCAACAATGTAAAGAAGTAATAAAAATAGCCGCAAATTAAATATTTATGCTGATTTAAAAACTATTGAATTATCTATATTGAAACTATTAAATAGTCAATAAAACCTGTGTATTGATTTTCCATGGAACAGCTGCTAATTGATTCAAACTGTCTATTGCAGGATACAGTTGATGAAGCGGTGCATTTTCCATCCTTTGCCATTGCTGTACAGCATGATGAGGCAATCTAAATATTTATTAATAGGAAAAGAAACTTATTCAAAACATCTTTAAAATTATTTATCTTTACACAATTTATTATTTTATACCTAACTAAATCTGTCCTTGCAACTAAGTAACCACCAGATGTAATTGACGTCCAAGGTACAGGTGGGCACAACATTGGTACAGCATTTGGTTCAAAATATAAATATTCTTGACCGGAACTTCGTAGTAGTCTAATAGGAATAAATCAATCAAATTAAATGTAATTGTGATGAAAATATTTGAAATAATCAGAATTCATTTATCGGTAGTTTTGAACAGATATAATTTGAAAGTAAGTACATACTTTGAGAGTACTGGATGTGGTTTTACTTCTTCTTTAACAAATTTTCCTTGATTTCTAAATAATGTGTAAAATGCCGGAAGCATATTCCTGTGAATATCAATACAAACCATAATATCAATTAATAGTATAATTTTTCATTGTAAATCTAAACTTACTTTTGTTTACTATTCATCTTCATAGAATTTACATCTATTTTTAAATCACGCATCAATATATTGTACAAAAATTTTCCAACAGCTAGCAACACTGAATAAGGCCAATTTACTTCTTCTAAATCCTGCAATTATATTAATATAATTAATTGTTTAATAAATAATATAAGTTATATATTGTTTAATAATAATATAAGTTAAATATTGTTTAATAATAATATAAGTTTAATAAATTTATTGTTTAATGACTTATAATCATTAGATCCCACTTGCAATACCACTAATACTAACTGTGCTTGCTCCATGATTTTCTTGATGAACCAGCAGTTGCCATTTCTGCCTTGTGTTAAAATCACTTAACTTATCTAATGAATCCAGCTCTTCAGATAAATAATTAATATCTTGCAGTTTTTTATAAGTTTCACTTATTTGTAAACAATATTGATCATATATTTCATTTACTTTTTCCAGAACACCATTTGTTTGTTTGACTTCAATATGATACCTAAAAATAACATGAATAAGACTCAATGGCATTTTTGCTATGTAAATGGGACTTTATTTTGAAGTTATGTATACGACATAATTCATGATAATTAAGATGAAACTAAAAAGGAGATATCTTCTATTAACTTTGATCAGTATTTTAATTAACTGGCAAACCCCATTTTATGGAACACATCTTCTTACTGAATTTTAATCAAAAATCGTTCAATACCGTATTTTCAAAAACTTTACCAACTTATTAGTTACTACCTATTTGATAATTCAAACATATATTTTTATTGATATCAATTTTTATGTGTGATATCTACAGAAAGAATACAAAAGTGAAAAGTTTTATCTTTGTCAATATAGGTTACCTGGATTGTACTCTTATGCCTAAATCTCTATATAATTGATTTACTGTTGGACTGTAAGTTTCAGAGCCTTCGGCAATTCTACGAGCTTCTCTTAGAACAATGTCAGCATAATCAGATACCTTTGAAAATCAATATAACAAATTAAATAATATAAAATATAAATAAGATTTCAATGGAATTGGTACCTTCAAAACTCTAAGATATGGATAAATTCCTATTGATCTATGTGATTTCACTGAATTATGTTGTGCCCTGAGGGCTTGTAAATCCCGCTTAAAAGCATCACAAATCTTTTGTTTCCATGTTACTTGCATGTCCTCAAATCGTTTTCTCTAAAATTTATTAGTTGTGTTGATATAAAAAACTGTATAATAAAAAAAATGATCACATACAAATATGATTTAGAAAAATCTTCTTACATAATGAAGAACAAATTCATCAGGCTCGGGTAGTTTTTCTATACTCTTCACAACCACAATACCATTCATTTCCAGATTCAATTGTTGCTTTGAGCACATTTGTAAATTTTTAACATTATAAAACTGGTCACTATATTTTTGTTCTGACATTACACCAGAATTTTCATTGCTTGTAATACTTTTAATGGTGGGTCTATTGGTATTTAAATATTCAACTAATTCTCCTGTATAATGCAATATGGGAGGTGTATACACGGGTTTGAACTCTGGTTCAAGTCTCTGAATAGCAGAAATAACTACTTCACGTTCATCTTGGCAAAATTTGCTCTTATCTACAATACAATTCAAAGAGAAACCCTGGAATATAAAAAAAATATTTTTATGCAAGTATATAATTATAATATAATCCATAATACATTTATTATTTAATTTACTAATTTTAATATATTTATTTTAAATAATATTCCTTAATTCAAAACTCACTTTACTTATTGCTTCTGAACGATACTTTGCTAATAACCTATCATTTTCAGCAGAAGGAGGATTTCTGCCAAGACATTCAAATATATGAGCAAAAGTTTGAGCTGACCATGAAATTTTATCTTCTCTTAAACATGTGAGCAATTCATATACTTTTGCATAATTGCCCTGTTAAAAAATTGAATTTGTATTAGCAATATTAAGAAAAAAGCAAGTGATCAAATTATTGTTATATTAACTAACTCTTTTAGCAAATCCCTTGATCATTATATTATATAAATTCAAATCCATAACTTTGGGGTATGATTTTTTTTTACCACGATTGCGATAATGTAGAAGAGTTGCCAATCCTCTATTTAAGAGGTTGTTTGTGACACACAAATCTAAAAATGCATTCAAACTTCTTTGAAGACCATCTTCCTTGGCCGCTTTCTCCATTAATTCTAACCTTTGCTTCATTATTTTACTCTGTGTCAATTTTTCACCTTTAGCAGGTAGTTTTTTCTTTGATTTGACTTTATCTGTTGCACTTTGCTTTGATAACTGTGTCAAAATTTCCACATCATGCTCTGGTTGGATTTCCATATCTCCCATATAACTTTCAGCCACTAATTTGTCTTCAATGCTAAATACATAATTATATACAGCATTAATGAAGCATTACATAATTTTTATCAACATTAACTTAAAATATTTGATTGCAGAACTAATTTTTTGTAACTAAATTATATACAAATGTGCAACAATGAAAATATAGAGTAATTTTTTTTATATTACCTCAATTCCTCTAATGTGTCTAGCTCATATTCCTCCAACATCCCCGAAGAAGCAAATTCATGATAACTTTCTCTAATTTCATGTAATAAAGAAACACTACTAGTATTAACCGTCATGCTGTCCTGCAAAAAGCAGACTGCTAAATCTTCAAAGGATTCAAAACCTTCTACACTTGTAAAATTCTTTGAAGAAAACGAGTTAAAATGCTTGTCATCTGCATTCCTATTTTTCAAACCCGATCCTTGTAAGAAGTTGCTTTGCAGTTTGTGCAATTCGCCCAGCGATACATCTGGCTGTGATATTATATGTGCTATTTCTTGTGGCTTTAGATTTTTAATTGATGCTTTTTTCGTACTTGTTTTATCTTCACTTACTGAAATAAGTAGAAGAAAAAATTAGTATTTGGATATAATTTAAGTAATATAATTATTATGAATTAACACAATCCAAATTTCTTAAAATACGTAAGTTAAAACAATATTATAAGAATTGATTCTTTGTTTTTCATAGTCAATTACAGTATACAACTTTTAAAATGCGTTTAATCTATAAAACATCCAATCAAAACCAAAACCAAAACCAAAAATGGGTAGGTCAAGGTATTGCTCTCTAATTAATATATTGTGTAATTCTTGTCACTTAACTGAAGTTTAACATGCTTCTTACCTTCTAATAATTCAGAATAGTTCTTTTTCTTGTGCACTCTCCTCTTTCGTTTTATTACAGTCCTAAGTGATTGCGTTGAGGTCGAAGAATTTTTTCGGCATTGAGTTAAATAACTATTTGGAACATAACCTAAAAACGTTAAGGCGATAAATGGTAATTAACAATAGATTTTGTTAACTTCAACTAGTCAAATGTAGAAAGGTATTTATAAATTAACTATTTTTACCTATATCTAAAACTGACAACGACAAATTACAATGATTTTGTTTACAACATAAGCACGTTTCTCTAATCTGCGCATTTATGCAATTTTGCCTCGACAACTTTTGAACATAATTTTGAGACAACAGTTTTACTCTAAATAAACGATACATGGCTTTAATTATTAATTTTGAACATTATTGCACTAAATTATGTAACAAAAAATTAAAAAAATGCAATTTCTGTCTAACAGCTACTCCCACGGGGAAGTGCGCCATTATTATGCTGTGGTTCTATGAATTCTAGCTGAGCAGTGGTGGACAAGTATCTCGTTCAAAAAACATTCGAAAAGAAATTAACAAAAAATGAGCTGTATTGAATATATTGAATAAAGCATGACATTCAATAATAATAATAATTTTGAGAAATATTATTTTTATTATACGTAAATAATGTAACCTTTAATTGGTTTAATGATATTCAATTTATTTAGTTAACAAATTGTATTATATTTTATTTGTTATTCAGACCCGCTAATAATCAATATTTTTAATAGATTTAAAATAATGTAAATATATATATATATATATATATATATACATATATATCGCAATACTCCTCCGAAACGGTGTGACCGATTTTTATGAAATTTGATAATCGCGTTCAGTATGACTAATAATGAGAATCAGACAGCATCTATTTTTCTTACCTCTAACTGACCACTCTTAAGAATTTTATATTGGTTTTAGGACCATTTTTCATTGCTTTTTTATAATTCCACATACAACCCTATATTTTCACCCTCGTACCACAAACCCCTATTTCGTAATAGTCATTTTAGTAATCGAATAATTTTTATCCCGCGATCAGTCAATAAATGTTTTTGACATAATTTTAAATTGTGTAATGTAATTAAAAAATTAACGAATTAATGCAAAAAGCGCGGTAATAATCACAATTTAAAATGTGGCATGCTTTAAAGTGGATAAACTATTCATATAATTTGTGTTAGCTTGTGTTTTTACGTTCACTTATATACTACATACTTGACGTTCACAATCAGTTAGTCATTTTATATACTAAATTTTTTCTAGAAATATTTTTTAGGGCTAAACGTCGTTTGACGGGTCAGCTCGTGTACATGTATTTAAATAAGAGATATTATAAATAATAATAAAAATTATTTGAGGAGCGGTGTCTGCTAAATCTAACTGAATTATTCAGGGCAGTTGGCGATGATGCTTTCAGCTTTGCGAGTTTCCCAGCTTTGTTTAGTTATTTTTTGTTACAATTTTTTTAATTTTTTCTAAACATACTATATCATTAGTGACATGATAGCAAAGACCTTAGGGTAAACAGGGCTTCAAGGTCCACGGGTAAAAAGGTCCACCACCAATAACTCAAAAACAAATTATAAAATCAAGAACAATATTTGAAAGTAGAAGGAAAAAATGTATAACCAGCCATGATTGCCTTGATTCTTACGACGCTTACGACATTGCTATCTGGAGATAAACGGCAATGTTGGAAAATCCGCAAAAAAGTATTTTCCTTCGTTGTGAGCACTGTTGCTTAATTTATGAGACCTCAATATAATTCTTGAGTATACTACTATTGTTTTATGAGACGTATTGTTAATTTTAAGTTAGATTCAAAAGTTTTTTTATATAACCTCTATAAAATTTCAAGTGAACCTTTACCCTGATGGCAAACGCGTAAAAGGATGAAATAATAAATAAAAAAGCAAATAAAGTTAAAAAGCTATGTTACAAGAGATGAATTAAATAAATAGTTATTCCAACTCTGTTGATGAATATTTCTGACAAAATACTATAGATCTAGGTTATTTACATCGTTATCTCTGTATAAAATGTATTGGTTGAATGTAGTTATTATTTTGTAAAATACCTTTAAAATTAAAATAAAACATTGGATCAATTAAAAATGTTTGAAAACCAAGAAAATAGACACATTTTAACAATGATGAATTAGCTGGGAGTTTTACTGAACATAGCCGGAAAGTTGTTTATTTGATATGTGTTATTTGTTATTCAAAGTCAAATTAAACCCGCCCGACCCGCTCTCGCCCTTTCTACCCGCTCTACGTGTATTATAAGGTCTATGCATGATAGATACCATGATTGTTTCATGATTTGTATTATTTTGAACTGTCGTTGCCTTTGGCTAGTGCAATTACCAAAGCTATATTATATATCACTCAAAAAGTTTTATAAGACCGTATTGTAAAACTTAATAGTTTGAATGATTTGTGATTCTGCGGAATATATCTCATTATTTTACGGTAAGTTATCCTCTTCTTCTTCTCTTCTTTTATCTATGAAGTTATCTTTACATATTGACAATATAATTGATTTTGTTTTTGGTCACTATAAGTATCAATAAATATGTATTAGCCTTTATTCCTGGTTCCTAAATCCAATAATATTGAAAAACCAGCTGTAAAAATATCATTATACATACAAATACAATAAGTAATATAATATAATAATAAAACAATAATTAAAATATTTCATTTGATAAATTTTTGACAGGTGCATATAACATGAACATAGGGGGTGAATCACATTAGATAGACCATCACCAGATATAAGGAAAAAAATCGGACTGAAAAATAGAAAAATTGAAGTGCCAGAAGCGATTTGAAGCACACACTAACTAATCGCACACGTTACAGTATAACAAATAGGTGCACGCATTTTTCTAAACTTTATGTGTATAGATATTTGTAATTTTCAAATTTGAAAAATTTCTCATAATTCTTTTCAACATTTAATACGATCGAGAAAGCATCTATTAAAATTAGATGAGCACTAAATTCTATTTTTAACACAAGCCGTTTCGCATTCTACAGTTTACAGATCTGACTTATACGAGACGAGATTTTACAAGTATATAAGAGTTATGGCCGAGGATACGTTTGTCCACAATAAATTAAAAATATTAACGAACGATGCACTTGGCAGGTTAGTAAAAATGACATGGTTTATGTTTTTTCTATTACTACTGTAAATAAGTTAAATATGCGTCAATTATTATTATTATTATTGATCCGCACGCGGACAGATACATGGGGTTAAACACTACAGTGTTTATAGTTTACTTTTTAGTTTCTCAATTTTTTCTGATATGTTTTTTGTGGCTGAACTTTCTATTTCCTGAAATTTTTCATTTCGCGCATGCCGTCCATAATCTGCATTCTTCTAATTAATACTCTTTTTTATTCATGCTTCTATTCATAAATCTTTTAGCCCTTTTTCTTGTCGTACGATGCACAAGAAACCCTTTTTCTACATGCGCTTCAATGTGATACTTGTTTATCTATGGTGGGCTTCCAGTTTCGTTTTCTTTTCAACTTCTGAAAAATTCTTATTTCTCTCTCTCTCTCTTTACATATATTTGAAGTATTTAGAAGGTTATATTTAGGTTTTTATTTATTTTTTATTTATTTTAATTTTATTTGAACAGCGATCAGAACTTATGGGTTCTATGAGCTGTTGTGATTAATATCTTACAATCTACGTTTGTTTTATTACAGATGGCAACCCAAACAGTTGTCACATCTCTGTATGATAAATTTTTATTACAATCTCTGTAATAGGGCAAGTATGGTGCAACAATGCCGGATGAGGGCTATTTTTACTTGGAAACATATTGCTATCTATACTTCCAAGTGAAAATCGTTGTCACTGCTGCCTAACAACAGGCTGCTCGAAGTGGGTATCGAACCCGGGACCTCTGAAACAAGTCCCGTCGCTGTTAACCGCTTACCTACGGGCGAGCCCTATATTTAGGTTAATATAAAAAATATTTTGTATTTTTCCTGGTTTGATTACTGAATGACGACACACATTAAGTGTCAAAACGTTTAATATAATAAAGAAATTTTCTATATTAACCTTCTCATAATTCGACGATTGGGCTCTAAATACTTCAAATATGTATGTAATGTAACATCGACAAAACTATCAACACACACACAGACACACACACACACACACATATATATATACATATATATATATATATATATATATATTTTTTTTTTGAATGTTGATTTTCAGCCAATCGTCGAAATAAAAAAAAAAACAAAAAAATAATAAAATATTTATTTATACGTTTCGACACGCATTGTGTGTGTGTCATCATTCACCAACCCAATTTGAATTTTTTTTACAGTATCTAAAAGAATTTTCACAAAGTTAAAAAAAAATTAAATTGAATATATATTATAGATTAAAAGATAAAATGAGAAGTAAAAAATTTGATACATTCCACACCAGGAAAAACAATAAATTTTTTTTTATTAATTAATATTTAGAAAATTTACAATATAAAGTAAACAATTTTTGGTTTTAAATTTAATTTGATTTTTTTTAAAACTTTGTAAAAATTCTCTTAGATACTGTAAAAAAAATTCAAAAAGGGTTGCTGAATGATGACGTACAATCCGTGTCGAAACGTATAAAAAATATTTTATTTGTTTTCTTTTATTTCGATGATTGGCTAAAATTATCATTCAAAAAAATGTCTCAACGCCGTACAAAAAAATTTAAACCTTATAACCATTTGAGCCCCTGGGAGCAAGGAAATTCGAAAATGACTATTTTAAGGACCATCCTAATATATATATATATATATATATATATATATATATATACTGCAAAATACTTCAAATATATATATATATATATATATATATATATATATATAGGGTGGTCCTTAATATGGACATTTTCGAATTTTCTTGCTCCCAAGGGCTCAAGTGGTTCCAAATTGATAAAAAACAATTCTCTGAAAGTTTTAGCTCTTGATATTAACTTTTAGATAGAGCGCAATTCAATCAAACTTCGTATGGAAATAGCATGGAAAAAATATTTTAGCAAATAAAAAAAATATAGCAATAAAATAATTTTTTTAGGTATAACTTAGCGAAAAATGAATTAAACGTGAAAATTCGTGTCATTTTTTATTGAAAATACGACGTTCTGAATTTATTTTGAAAATTATTCATGTTATTTCCATACAAATCTTTGATTATATATATATATATATATATATATATATATATATATACAGTAGAACCTCGATTATCCGGACCTCGGTTATACGGATTCGCGATTATCCGGACATAATCGCTTCGGAACTTGCATATTCTGATGTGCATATATACATTAATACATTCTCTGTTTTGACGTGCATATATACATTTTTAAAGGGTGGTGTTATCCCTTAAAGATAAAATAAATATTATAGAATCATTAAAAAAGGCGAAACCGGCCGTAAGTTAGCTGATAGGTATGGTGTAGGTACATCCACTATAAGCGATATTAAAAAGAATGCCGATTCAATTTTGTCGTACACTTGCAAGTTAGACAGTGAAGAGGGTAGTGAAAATCAGAAAATGGTGAAGAGACCGAAAAATGAACTCTTAGAAGAAGCTCTATATTGTTGGTTTTTACAAAAACGATCAACAGGACAACCGATATCTAGATCTTTACTCTGTGAAAAGGCATTACAGTTAAATGAAAAATTAGGCGGCGTTGAATCGTTTGTGGCAAGTAGTGGATTGATTTTTGTTGATATCTATGTATGTATTTGTTATTTTTGATAAACAAAACATTATTCTTCATCATTTGGATTATCCGGATTTTCGATTATCCGGATGCCTATCGACAACAATTAGTTCGGATAATCGAGATTTTACTATATATATATGACGAGTGAGCCGCCACAAAGCGGTTTGGGTTCTTCGACATACGAGCAAAATTCGAGATACGAGCTTTTGGCAATTAGAAGTTATCTCGATAAATGTTAATAGCAAAATGAAACTAGTGGTGCAATGAACATTGGTGTAGAACCCACAGAAATGTAAACAAATAGTACTTATAATAATATTATAAAATATCTCATATTTTCATGTCCATATGTCTAAAAATAATCTTTGGCCGCCAAATGCCATTTTTTTACTTTTTTCAGTGGATCTACGAAACCGCTAGACCTTTCTTTCCAACAGTAATTTGTTCTTCATTTTTTTAATACAATAAAAATTTTTCTTTAATTATTGAAATCGGACGGTCCGTTTTCTCAAAAACTGAATTACAATTTTTGGCACTGTTTGCCCCGTATCCCGAAACGGATGATGGATCTGGCTTTGCCAAAAACTAATCAGCACGTCTCCCTATCAATAGGAATCAAAAGCTTTTCGAATCATTCAAATCGGTTGAAACCTATTCTCGAAATCACCGACAAAAATTTGTATTTGCACATACATACACACACATACATCAATTTTTCCTAATGTACGCCAAAATATTCAGAAGGTTTTATATATGTGTAACCTTTGCTCAAGAAACCATATCTCTAAAAGGATTTCTGATGTCCCGCATTGATCCAAAGTTAAGGTTAAATTTTGAAAAATTCCGTCTTGATCCATTTAGAGTGCTCCAACCGTATCCAAATGTATGACCGACACCCATTAACTTTGGAAGACCTGTGGTTCACCACTGGAAAAAATCATTTTTGCTACTTTGCATGACAAAAAATAGCATCTGCTTGCTTGCATGCTTTGCCTCTTTTTATTACAAAAAAATGTTCAACTTATGATTGAAGAACAATTTTGCTCACATCCCGGTATTTCTTTATAACAATCTAATAATTTTTATTTATTACTGAGATAATTATTTATTTATTCGGATAATATATTTATTTGTATTTATAACTTTTTATTTCATTTGGCCATATAGACCAATTATTTACACCTAGAAATATTAATCATTTTTCGAGTAGAAATAATTTTTTATTTTTCGTGTTTCCTTAAAGTTGAAAATACTGAATGCTTCGCTAATAATATTTTACGATAGCAATATTGAACTTGTAGCACATATTATTTTGTAAAATAAATTAATTTGCTTACCTTTGTATTTATTTCTAAGGCACTTAGTGACCGAGGAAGCGATAAAGAAGGGAGAACGATTAATACTCGATCCTGCTCTTGTAATTGGCCCCCATGTAATATCCGGCCCAGTATGTCTCAATTGCTGGACGCCTGTGCCTCCTGCTTCCTTCTGTCGGCGTTGTAGCAGATGCGATATTGCCCCTTTGTGTTCTTCTTGCTTCGAGATGGTTCCCAACGATCAAGTTAAAGATGACAACCAAAATATAAGACATAATCTTCAGGAGTGCAATGCTTTTCAGAAATCTACCCTTAACCACAAGTAAATCTATACTTTAGAATCATCCGTATTTGCAATTTAATTTATTAAAAATATATTTCAATAATTAATAAACAATATTTGTGTATCAATATTATCATTGTAGCCGCCCATAAAATTTAGCTTACTAAAATATTTTTTTTTTTCACGTTACAAGCACTTTGATAAATAATTTGCACGTCGTGATGCCGCTCAGATGCTTGCTGCTGAGTGAGCAGAAGCTACAAGAAGTGATGAAGATGGAAGCGCACCAGGAGAAAAGAAGGAACAAGGCAATTTGGCATTTATATAGAGCAGTAGTAATCAAGGTTACGATACACTAAAATTTATTCTAATGTCTGATTCTTACGCAATTCATTTCATAAATTCTTTGCTAAAATCTTCCAATGATGAAACGGTTCATAAGTATTTGCACAATGTAAATACATACAACTGTACTATAATAATAAATTGCAAAAAATATAAATTTTCAAAGTTAAAACATGATATCCTTAAGGCATTGTACGATTTTGGATTGGTCGACCCGGAGAAATGGAACGAAGAGTCATTGCAGCGGCTTTGTGGAATTCTGGACGTAAACACTTTCGAAATTCGATGTCCAGCTGGGACATCCTCTACCGCCAGAGCCCTATTTCCGTTGGCGTCTCTGATGTCTCACGATTGTACTCCAAATGCCCATATTACGTTAGACAAAAAGCATCACATTCGCTCTTTTGCCTCACGCGATATTGCAGAAGGGACTACAATCTGCTGCACTTATACCAGCATCATGCAGGTGAGAGGCTTAGTTAAGCTTAAACCGTCCAATTCTATGTACACTCAATTTGTTTCTACAAACACTCGGATACGAATCCAATAACCTGATTTTATACCAAATTCTTTCGCGTGCCCTGTGATTTTGATATTTCGATATTAATGCTGATATTCTATTTTAGAGAAGACAATATTAGTATTCTTATTTGAGTTATTTATTGAAATATTATTTGTATCTTTGTCGTCAACTAATTGCACTTTGACAAAACAATTTGAGTTTGTTTTTAAGACTAAAGTAAATAACTATATATCAGCAAAAAAACGTAATTTTCAAGAAAATGGAAAACGTATTAATTAAAATTATTGACCATTTGATTCTATACATAATACATATTTACGATCTTTCTGGCAATTTATGAATAGCATTTCAAGAAAACTGTTTCTTCTTTGAACTAAACCATTCATCGAACCAATTTCTAACTTCTTTGAAATCATCGATGCGAAAAGTTGATAGTCGGATAATTTTCTATCACATTTTTGAAGCAACATTTCAGAGAAGATTTTTCATTTGCCTGCCATTCAATTGATATGACACCCTTCTTTCAAATTTTCGAATCTTTCTGGTCATGAATCGTTTCTTGAGTCATATCTAACGCTTTAGCCTATTGTTTTCGAGTTTGGCTTATTGTTAGGTCTTCGCCCAATAACTCCATTTTCCATATTAAGACTTTTTTACATGTGTATAAGCTTTTAACTTATTTACATTTATAATATTTATAATATAATTATTTAACGTTTATAATTATTATATATTTACAGTCAATTTTAACAGAGCAAAACTTTCTCTTCAATCTTAACAAAAATTTCAACAGAATTTTTATGTGATTTATTAAATTTTTTATTGAATTTAACTGTTTAGCCTACATGGAGAAGAAGAGAGCATTTACGTGAAGGGAAATATTTCGAGTGCATGTGTGAACGCTGCAAAGACGCAACGGAGTTTGGAACACATTTGCAATCCCTCATATGCACCGGTTGTTCCGGGCAGGTATGTTTCAGAACCACAATTCGATCATTCGAACGTGCCATTTCAATGTCATTATAATATTTGATATTTATAGCAATCAGACCGTTTCAAAATGGTCTTCATAATCCACAAACACTCATACACACAAAGCCAGGAATCACCCAACACAGGTTGACACACCCATAAAAGACATTAGTCATGTTATTCAGTAATATTTTAATTGATTTGATGAAATATATTTTGCTTTATATACTGATAATAACAGGTCATTCCAACAAATCCCACTTCACCAGACCCATGGTCTAGTGGCAATTCCTGGTCGTGTTTAAGTTGCAATAAAAGTTATGAAGCAACATCTATCAAAGCCTTGCTCGATGCTTTCGAGGCCAGAATAGCTATTACAGGTAAGAATCAAACAAGTGATTTACTAAATGGAATTTAATCACTGATACAAACGTTAAACTTTTATTGATATTAAATTGTATGAGTACCAAAAGTCATTTGATGCATCTCATGTATAATGTCGCACGACTTATCTATTTATCATATTCAAACATGTTTTAGTTTCATTAAATGATTTATTAAAATAGAATTAATTATTATGTTAATTAAAAATATCACGAATGGCAATTAACTTTTCCATGCAATTAATAGCAGAAACAGAAACCAAAATGATTAGAGCGGTGGTTAGATTTCATTGTTAGACGTATCTAGTTCTATCCCTTATAAAACATTACTTTATTTGTATCGTTGTATTTCATATTATGTACGATATAGCGTATTTTTTCGAGTGCTGGCAGATTTGTAGATTTGTAAACAGGCAAGAATTTAGCAAAAGATTTTAAATTGTGTATGTGTAAAATATTCCGAAAATAATGTAGGTACAGAAACGTCAGAGTAAAATTGTATGAAATCATTTGAGTGCTATTAATTATTTTATAGTAATATTTTAGTAAATTAACATAATTTTATAGACAAAACCAACGAAGAAGCTCTTGAAACTCTTCTCTCGAGTATGTGCCAAACTTTGACACCACACCATTATCTGATGTTAGATGTAAAGCAGGTACGTAACATGCAGTATTCCTTATAAATATAAATAAATTTATATATATATATATATATATATATATATATATATATATGTAACACTTAACAGGGTGTTCCAGACCTTGACATCAAGTCGAAACGGAGTGATAGTATTGACCTTAACTGTCCTGAAACATTACGTGAATTATGAGCTTTTAAGTGCAACCTAGAGCATTGGAGAAATTATGACCAGTTTTCGGTTATTGTGGTTAACTTTTATTAATTTTGTCATTTAAACGTCGGAACCATAACCGTGAAAAACATTTCGAGGGCCACAGTAAAACAAATACCACAATCGCCCCGAGTTTTCAAGAATTAAAGCTTTTTGTAAAATCGGTCGACTTTGAGAGGACCTTCTTTAAAAAAAATGTACCAAAGCGTGTTGGGAAACATAAAAAATTGGCGTCCTTAATCATGACTATAACATGGTACTTAGTAATAAAAATTTAAGGCAAATTGCTGGAACTTCCCGTACCGTAACAAAATGTTCGCGAAATATGAAATTTTTCAAATAGAAATTATTATAAATAAATTAATACTAATTAAAACTAATCACCACTTCTCCCCATCATTAGGAACTAAATGTTTTTTAGATAAATCAAATCGGATGCTCAGTTCTCTCAAATTCTCGATTTTTATTTTTGGCACTCTTTGCTCTGTATCTCCGTAACGGTTGGATCTGCCTTTGCGAAAAACTAATCAGCACATCTCCCTATCAATAGAAACGATTGTTTTTTAAACAAATTGGTTGATCCGTGCGTCCGAAAGCGTGAACAAAAAATGCCGACATACAAAACACACACACACATCCATTTTTTCTGAGGTATGCCAAAATGTTCAGAAACCTTCAAAACGTGAAGATATATAAAATACGGGAAGTTAAAAGTGGTCATAATTTCCGCAGAGGTTGCGCTTAAAAGCTCATAATTTCCAAATAACGTGAGATATTTTTTTCTAAATTTATTTAGGACAGTTAAGATCAAGACTATCATCCCGTTTCGACTTGACGTTAAGTTCTGGGACACAGTGTTTGTATATATATATATATATATATATATATATACGTATACACACACATATATATATATATATATATATATGTGTGTATGTATATCAAGGGTGATCGAATTTCAGAATAAAATCGCACATAAACAAAATCGCATGGTTTCACTGAAAATATACAAACATACAAATACACATACATTCGCATACACATGCACATTCATGAAAACTGTGTTGACATCGGAAAGTTTTAGTATATTATGATCAATTATATTATAAAGATCATAATATCCAAATAGAAAACTCGTATATTTTAGACGCTGGCTGCTTTGTTACGTGACAAATATACTGACGCAGATGATGCCCCCATTGATGCATTACGCCGAAAAACCAGCTTATGCTCAGAGTTGGTGAATGTTTTAGAAACACTGGAACCGGGTTTATCTCGCCTGACAGGTAAGATTTTGATTCGAACTTGCGTTTTCCGCAGGAATGACACACTCCTGTATGAAACAGCATATTACAAAAAGATACAACAGCATATTTTAGGATTTTTTAATAAATATCAATAGAAAGATTAAAAAAAAAAATTAAAAATTGCACTTCTAAAGAACTAAAAATGATAAAAACAAATTAGCATTCGGAATACTTGCCATAGGGTAAGTTACATTAATCTCAAAAAAATCGAAAATAGTTTTTTGATATATATTTACGTTTCAAAGGTTTCTGAACATTTTGGCATACCTTACAATTAGAAAAAATGGATGTGCGTATGTGTATGTGCGGATACACATTGAGAACACGTAACAACCGATTTAAATAATTCAAAAACATTTGATTCGTATTGATCAGGAGACGTGCTGATTAGTTTTTGGGAAAGACAGGGCAAAACGTGCCAAAAATGGAAATTCAATTTTTGAGAGAACGGTGTGTCCAATTTCAATAATTCAAGAAACATTACACTTGTATTGACAAAATGAAGAACTGGTTAAGTTTTTGGAAAGGCAGGTCTAGAGGTTTCGGAGATTCAATAAAAACAAAATGAAAAAATATCATGTGAAGGTCAAAAACGATTATTAGACACATGCACATCACATTACCAGATATTTTATAAAGATATTAATAACAAGTATGAATTTTGTTCACATTTCTATGTGACGTACCAATTTTCATCCGTTTGGCGCCGACGCAATAAACAAACTCATATTACAGACTACTAATGAATAAGATGTATGTTATGATTTAGCTTTCAATTTTTACATTTTTTTACGATTTTAGGAATAGCTTATTACGAATTATTCGTCGCCACAAGTCAGCAGGCCAACTGCGAGCTAGTGACTGAATCCATATCCTCTGAAGAGTTCCTAGTAAGTGTTGTTACGCTTCAAGTTAATCTTTAATTGAAGAATAATGATGAAAACCTTCACATGCAAAATCATAACATAATATCTGCTTTAAATCTATTATTTTAAATGTATTTTTCAAACATACTTCCAGAGTCGTATAAAATCAGCTGAAGGCATGTTAAGATCAGCAATCAATCTTTTAATATACGAACCGGACAATACACCAGAGGGAGCTCTAGTCAAGGCTGCATTCCAGGACTTGCATTTAATAAAGAATGCGCCATATTTGTTTGAAGATGGTCATCCTCCCAAAATCCAAAAACCGAGGTTCTCATCTTTTGGCCGATTCTGAATTCGTATTGTTGAACCCACGAACAAAATTTTATAGAACGCATTTTAAAATAATGTATTCCATGGGTTATTTTAGGTTAACATTTTTTTACGTCGAAAACTATATATGGATCGTTCAACCTGGTTACCAAATTTTATATGAATGTATAAAATTTATATTTAATATTATATGAAAAGACCCTGAATATATCCTGTTATTTAAAAAGGAAAAAAAAGAAAATTTTGCAAAAAAATCGACTAACAATAAGAGAACTAACCATCTAAGAAGAATAATATGGGATACTTCATTAATCATAATATCTTAAAATCCTTTCACTTCATAATTCTTGCACCCTGAAAAGATATATATTTTCGTTCCCTATATTTTAAAATATACAAGTGATTTGTTTATATCATAATAAATTTATTTTAAAAAAATTGTTATTTTATAAATAAACCAGATTAAGTATTTAAACAATTTTTCAGAATAATTTTGTATAACTAGTAGTATCATATTGGTCATAATATTTCTACAAAGTAGGCTGTAATCATTTAATCAATCAAGACTCACAAATATGACTATTTGTGGATAATTACATCTAAACTAGCAATATCACAATTCATACAATTTTTTTTGCTCGTGACAAAAAAATAATTCTACGTGAATAATATGAAGTTACAATTTTAATACTGACAAAATTTTACTTCGCATATGTAATTAGTTGCCGGAATTAGATTAATTTTATGTATATAGATAAAATAAATCTATTTTTGCAAAAAAAAACCTAGATTACCTTCGCTAGTAAAATTTAAATAAATACTTGATTGTCGCAAATAATTTAATATTAAACTAAAATTATCGAACACAATATGCGAAGATTTTTTGTATATTAATTGTAACTTCTTGATACGCCCTACTTATGCCACTTATACTTAAATTTTCATTATATATTTTAATAATTTTAGACATATATAATATTAAAAACTTACGTAAATACAAGTATTCACAAGGTTTCAAAATAAAATATAAATATATAAATAAATGAACGCACATAACCGCATTTGTATAATTTAAATTGAAAATGCTATTATTGCGCCAGCATTTTAAATAATAAATATCATGACATACATGAAAAAAATTAAATAATTTTTATTTTCAAAGTTCAATTTTTGAGTGAAATTTGTGTGACTGAACTATCGTTCAATAAACTATTAGAACTAATTGTTTCCTGACAAAACATAGTATTTAAAATACACATAGTATTTAAAAAAAACTATTTTTTGTTAATTTATTATTTTTTGTTAATTTTGTTATTTTATTACGTAAAAAGATCTAAATTAAGTGAGCTAAATCTAAAAAATAAAAACAAGTACGCCATATTATTTTTTTAACTTTTTGACTTAAATAATCTTTTTAAAATGTAAATCAATAGTGTACTGAACGATGTTAAATTTTTTTTTATAAACATATACACCTATTCCCCGTTTTACACATTTTAGATCTTACATGGTTTTCTAATTTATTGATTTTTCATTTACACAAAATTATAAACATCATAAACAACTATAATTTGCTCAAATCTACAATAATATTTTCATTGTTTTACTGTCAAAACACAATACTACAAAACGAATGTTAGGGTTACGAATTCTTAGTAGTCTATGATGGAAATATGCAGATGGGAACTCTGCGTTTTATGATTAAAACTAAATTGTATGTGTGTATAAGCTTGTTGTTTGAAATACCAAAACAATGAGATCATCTTAAATGAATTTCTAATTTTAATTTTTATATATGAAGAAAATGCAATATTTTTTTTATTATTGAAATAAATTAATTTTTATATTTTAATGAATGTGTTTGTTATTCATCCTCTTAAAAACTGACAAAAATAGACTTTAAATAAGGTTTTTCACAGTGATTTTCGTATAGCACTGTTTTTCCATATAAGAGTGCATTTTTCGAGTTTTTTATGGAACCTATTTTACGTGTAAAGTGGGGGATCGATGTAATTATAATCAAAAATAAAAATTTCGAATGTAATCAATCCACCCATAAAAACAATATAATAATCTTTGAAGGGCCACTGCCATTTCACACCTCTTCCAATCAACAAATACCATTATTGTAATACATTTTTATATAACTAAACTAAAATAACTTTATTGACATTATTTAAGTCATTATTTCTTCAAAATATTATCTTAATATTAATAAAAATATAAAATTTCATCAGTCGCACACACGTTATTTGTAAGCCAAGCGGCACAAACAGATTTCATTGCTCATTATATATTGATTCATTTTAACCACTTAAAAACAATATAATTTTTTATGTAACCAATTCAAATTAAAAAAAAAAACAATATAATATTTGCTTTCGGGATCGATATTAAATAAATACTTATAAACTATAAACATCGCACAATAATCGTTTATTGCCCTATTGTGGTTAGTTGTGGACCGTCACATTTTAAAGCAGAAAAAAAAAGACTAATACATTATTAATTAATAATACTTTAATTGATAATTTAAATCGATGTATATGTACGAAGAAAATAATTAAAACAACATTTGCTAAAAACTCTTGTACAATAAAATGTGACTTGTATTCCGTTGAAAAATATATAAACTAGAAAATTATACCATCCCAGATCACCGTATTATTTCACATACGATCTGACCCTGTCAGACCAGAAATGGTATCAAGATAAAAAAGTATTAAAAAATAAGGACAGCGATTTTATAAATATGCAATATATACTATGCAAAAATTTCTGACAATTTTTATCATTTGTCAAAATCTTCTAAATTGCCGGGTCTGAATGGGCCTAGATTATTAGATAAATAATTATTCTTAAAAATAAATATGAAGTACGGTCGCAAATCTAAGCATGATTATACAATTTCAGTAAACGATAAATAAAGTTAAGAGACACAGTCACTTATCAAACAGAAAGAGTGTTGTTCGTCACGCCATTCTGGCTCCTCATATTGACATCGTACTCGTTGTCATTGTAAGTTCCTTTGGCTAAAGAATTCGTGGAGCACCTTTCGGGGCCGAACAGATCCGAGATGTATCTCACCTGCAATAAAAACAATAGACGATGATATCAACGAACGCTATTTATATTTAACAGAATTGAGTAATATATCGGTAATGAACTTATGGAAATATTCTATTGAAGCGGCAACAAATCATGTTTGTTTCATTAGTTCAAATAGATTTTTTTATTCGAATCAAAACCGAACCAAATATAATTCGATTGTATTCCAACCATGTAATTTATTTGAAGTTGTAGACTTCATCTTTACTTATATTTTTAATTAGGAGAAATACAGACAAAATGGTATATATAGACAAAATGAACCAGTGGTTTCATTTAGAAATTTGCAAGTTTTAGTAACGTTGCCGAAACTGCATAGCGTTAAGAAAGCCATAACAATCCTGTCAGATATTGAGCGTCATTGTCACAGTATTGGCGCAGTAATCAGTACCAATGTGCATCACACCTTCATAAGTTAATTTTGAGGGTATTTTTCACACTTTTTCGAGAACCTATTTATTGATATTTGTAATTATTTCAATTAAAATCAATTAACTTATGTTAGTACTAGTAATTTCGATAAATTTTATTACAATAATCAGGTGTTTGATAAAATTTTGATTAATTATTCTTTTTTTTCAATTACGGACAAAATGACATACAATAAACAAAATAACAATATGAATATTTTATATTCTAATATTGTGTAGGTGAAAAGACATACATTACGCAAGCACTATAGGGCCAAAAAAATAAATTAAAACCTGTCAAAGGTGATTGGCTTTTAACTTCTATTCCAAGTATGTAAAGAATGATTGCTATAGAACAAAAGATTACCGGTAAAAAGTAGAGACTTGCATTTGTTGCAAAACCCCCTTTTTCCGTTCCGAGCCCGGTGAAGATTGATTATGATGTATGACTTGAACCCTTTGGGGGGTTCATGCTTTATGTGGTAATGTCCCAAAGAGGACAAAACGATTTATTTGTGAACTGCTTTCTTGAATATTAGCATCCCAGTATGTCCTAACGTTATATGTCATTTTGTCCGTACAATAGAAACAAAATGGTTTTTGTAATTGGTGGTATTTATTCCTCATTAAAAATGTGAATTCGTAATGTGAAGCCGTAATATTTCAGTAAGTTCTATAAGACCATGGTATACATCGCCAAAGAAAGTTTCATAGAAATCGGCCTAATTTTTTTTTAACAGTTGATTACAAGAAAACGGCTCGATACATTTTCACCTAAAACTAATCAGTAGCATTCCCAACTAATATCTTTCGAACAGTTTTTGATTTTTTAAAATCGATTCGGTAGGATAAGCTTAAATGTGGACAAAAAGTTTAACACTCTTATTTAAATTACAAAGAAACGGCTCGGCAGATCGTCTCACAAAACTGACAAACAATAGTCCTCATTGAGATACCTCGAATGGCTTTTAAATTTCTGAAATCGGTTCAGGCGTTTTTGAGAAAACGTCGATCAAAGGTCTAATTTTGACAAATGCCAAAAAAACGATATCAATTTTTGCAAACTTTGACGAATTTTTTGACGCTAAACGAGTTGTCATACGGCTGTAATATTTTAGTATGATCTAGAAGACTATGATATCTACCGCCAAAAAAAAATCATAAAAATCGTCGATTCTTTTTTAAACTTTATTACAAGAAAACGGCCGATCTTTACCAAAAACTAATCAGCACGATTCCCAACCAATATCTATCGAACGGTTTTTGAATTTTCAAAATCGATTCAGAATTACGAGCTAAAACGTGGACGAAAAATTTTTCACTTTTCTACGATTTACAAAGAAACGGCTTGGATGATCATCGCGCAAAGTTGATACACGCTAGTCCTTAACGAGATACATCGAATGGCTTTTAAATTTTTGAAATCGGTCCAGCCGTTTTTGAGAAAACGTCGATTTACGGCAAAAAATCTGTGCGTGCACACGCACACACACACACACGTACTTTTTCCAAATTTGGTCTCATTCGATTCAGAAAGACTTGAAACGTCGAGAAAACATAAAATTAGCGAATCGGATTTTTTGATGAAAACATAAACTTCTCCTTCGGGAAGTTAATAAATATACATCATTAAATAAATAAATAAAAACAAAATACCATGTCATTTTGTCCGTACTTTCCCTAATAATTATCCTGCTTGTTATTTCTGTGGTTTAAATTAACAATGAATTTGATCTACTTTAGAGATCGATTACCTAATAATGAAATTTTATGTAATTGTATTATTATATTATTATAATAACAAACAAAATGAGTTTCATACATGATATAATAAATTAAATGAACTACAAATAATGTCACTAATTAACTAAATTAAATTAGCATGGATAAAGCAACACTATTAATCATATAAAGCCTTCTACAATTAAATTAAACGTGCATGCTAAACATTGGGTTTAGCACCACCCATGACTAACATTCTTCTAAAATATACATTATAACATTCTTCTAAAATATTGTCAGCACAAATACGAAACAAGAAATGAAGACAATATTAATAAAAAAAAGTTCACAACAACTATTATTTGTTATTAACCCTTTGCATCCTTAATCATTTCAGGCGCTACCTACCAGCAACTTCTGAACGAAAATGTAGGGTGCGGTGGACAGAAGTGGGTCACATTTTTGTTTTTGGTTGTAAAATGGTTAAAAATGAAAATATTATCTTAATTTTTTTTAGTTGTAAGGGTATTCCAAAACGCAACTTTTTATCATAACAGATGTTAGCAATTATGTTTGGAAGTATTTCTATTTTTGAATGGCAAAAAAGTGTATTTACCGTGTTTTCCAAAAATGTAGGGAGAAGTGGGCCACCCACATTTTTATCTGAAAAAATGCTGCTATATGCTTCAAATTCTTACCCTGAGGGTTCTAAAATACGCTGATAAAGAATCCATGCCAAATTTACAAATTTCAAAATCGTTGACACGATATGAAGGGTAGAATTGAAAAAACAATGACTTTAGTAATGTTCATCTAAAGTCTGAAAATGAAGAAGTAATAAAGTTGGAATGATAAAATTATTGAATGAAACATTTTGCAACATTCAAGCACAGATTCTAGGCGTAAATGGTACACGTCAAGTCGGTGCAGTTGGTCATATCACTCATATACATAAATGGAAGGATCTGTTACAGTTATCGCACTCGATGGAGTTTTTTCTTGACAGCTTTGCAGCATCAATTTATTGCAAATCATGCCAAAATCGATGTCTTCATTTGAAGAAACTGAAGAATATCATTTCTTGCCTTTTTCACAGAAGATTGTGAAGTATTGGTCTTCTTGGAAACGTTCGCTGGTAGTTGCGATTTTTGACCCTGTGCTGCTTCTGCCGCGACCTCTCTGTTTTTAGGGGATGTATTGATGCGTTGAAAAGACAATCTGCTAACGTTGATAAAAGCAGAAGCAACAAGCTCCGATATTTTACGTATTTTCACTTCCTTCGTAGCAATAATCAATTTTTCATAATTCACCCCTTTTCTGGGAATTTTGTGTTTTTAACTTCCCGTAGGGCAAGTTATAGTAATCGCAAAAAAATCGAAAATAAAATTTTTTATATATCTTTACGTTTCAGAGGTTTCTGAACATTTTGGCATACCTTAGAAAAAATGGATGTGTGTGTGTGTGTGTGTGTACGTGTGTGTATGTATGTGCGGATACAAATTTTCGTCGACGATTTAGGGAATACGGATCAACCGATTTGAATAATTCAAAAAACATTCGATTCGTATTGATACGGAGACGTGCTCATTAGTTTTTGGCAAAAGCAGGTCTAGCGTTCCGAAGATACGGGGCAAAAAGTGCCAAAAACGGTGCCTCCGTTTTTAAGAGTTCGGAGCGTCCGATTTGAATAATTCAAAAAACATTTTACTTGTATTGACAAGATGTAGAACTGATCAAATTTTCATGAAGGCAGGTCTAGCGGTTTCGGAGATCTAATGAAAAAAGTAAAAAAAAATGCCATTCGGCGGTAAAAAATGATCATTAGACATATGTACATCAAATCATCAGATATTTTATAGAGATTTTAACAATAAGTATAAATTTTTTAACTTCCCGTAGGGCAAGTTATAGTAATCGCAAAAAAATCGAAAATGAAAATTTTTATATATCTTTACGTTTCAAAGGTTTCTGAACATTTTGGCATACCTTAGAAAAAATGGATGTATGTGTGTGTGTGTGTGTGTGTGTGTGTGTGTGTGTATGTATGTATGTATGTATGTGCGTGTGTGTATGTATGTGCGGATACAAATTTTCGTCGACGATTTCGGGAACACGGATCAACCGATTTGAATAATTCAAAAAACATTCGATTCGTATTGATAAGGAGACGTGCTGATTAGTTTTTGGCGAAGGCAGGTCTAGTCGTTCCGAAGATACGGGGCAAAAAGTGCCGAAAACGGTAACTCAGTTTTTAAGAGAACGGAGCGTCCGATTTGAATAATTCAAAAAACATTTCACTTGCATTGACAAGATGAAGAATCGATAAAATTTTCATGAAGGTAGGTCTAGCGGTTTCGGAGATATGGAGGAAAAAGTAAAAAAATGAGCCATTTGGCGGTCAAAAATGATCATTAGACATATGCACATCAAATTATCAGATATTTTATAGAGATTTTAACAATAAGTATATATTTTGTTAACATTTCTATGGGTTCCGTACCAATTCTTATGCGTTAGACAGCGACGCGGCGCTTACGCGCTTTATAGTTTATCCCTATGCAGTTAAAGCAGTACGATTGCTTTGAAAAAAAGTTCAGAGATTCTACAATATGTCAAAATAAAGAAAAAAAAAATTTTCCAAAAAAAAAAAAATTAAAAAAAAAAGTTTTTTTAAAAAAAAATTTTTTTTTTTCAAAAAAAAGTTAATTTTTGTCCAATTTATAGTTTCTCAAAAATCTTATTCTTTTAAAGTAATTTTTTTCAAAAATGTTAATTGCTTTTAAAAAAATAATAATTTTTGGTACGGGAAGTTCCAGCAATTTGCCTTAAGGCACGATGCCTTAATTGCCTTAAGACAGAATTCCACTTACAGCTAGTTTTACATTTCTATGGGTTCCGTACCAATGCTTATGCGTTAAACGGCGGCGCGGCACTTGCGAGCTTTGACATTTCGTCTCTATGCAGTTCAAGCAGTGCGATTGCTTTGAAAAAAAGTTCCGAATTTCCAAAATATGTCAAAATGAAGAAACCATTTTTTTTTCAAAAAATTTTTTTGTTTTCAAAAAAAAAAATTTTTTTTTTTAAATAAATTTTTTTTTTTCAAAAAAAGTAATTTTTTGTCAAATTTATAGTTTCTCAAAAATGTTAATCGTTTTTAAAAAAAATAATAATTTTTGGTACGGAAAGTTCAAGCAATTTGCCTTAAGGCACGATGCCCTAATTGCCTTAAGACAGAATTCCACTTACAGCTAGTTTAGAAGGCATTATGACTGAAGAGATAAAAATAAGTAAATAAGATGTTCGATTAATTGATAAAAACATTTTACTGTGCAAAAAACGGCATTATGCAAGTGGCCCATATCTGTCCACAAATGGTGACCCACTTCTATTTACAAACGCCTTTTTGCATATGCATCCCACAAAAACACAATGTAAACAATCGTCAAAAATCACTTTGCATTTCAAAGATTATATGTTTCTATAATATACAGCATATTTACTTGTCTTTTTCTCGTAAAACTTCGATGACAAATCACGTAAGGGCCTACGACGGTGAAAACTTTTTCGATGAAATTCTTAGCGCGTTCCTCTGTACAGCGCGATAGTAGGTTTATAACCTCCAAATGCTTTTCAAAATTGAGTAAGTATCGAAATATGATGATTATGTGTGCAGTTCGACATAGTACATGTCTCTAGTCTTAAGGTTATTCGGATGACCCACTACAACCTGTGGCCCACGGCTGTCCACCGCACCCTACTAGCAGTAAAAGTGATATTATACGGTATAATTTTAGAATCAAGTAACGAATAAGGAATAAATTGTAATGAAATTTGTTTCTGTGAATGTATACATAATTATAAAAAAATAAAAATTCTTCCCGAAGGATAAGTTTATGTTTGCGCCACAATACCCCACTTGATAATTTCATGTTGTTCTCAAAATTTCAATTATTCTGAATCGTTGGATATCAAAATTGTAAAAAGTATCTACGTGTGCATAAATGTACCAACGTTTTCTCAAAAATATTTTTAAAAGTCCTCCGATGTAACTCGCCACAAAATTGTAAAATTTCTCGTAAAAATTAGTTTTTAGTAAATATCTGAAAAAAAAAGTTTTCATACGTTTTTTTGGCTGATTTATTTATCATGCATCATGTAAAATGGTTGATTTATTTATCATGCACTTGGTTAATTTTTTTCATTACATTCAATTTTTGTACCATTTTAACAGAAAAAAACTTATCTTAATAAATACAGTAGAATTTTCTAAAAAAAAATCTTAAAAACATTTCTTAAAAAATTACAGTGATATAATTTCATTGTCCGTAATCGGTAACAAACTATCATATCTTACGTGGTCCCATCAGAAAAAACAGCCGAGTGCAACGGGTGAATGTACACAAATATGCAAGCCAAGCACATATAATATTATAAAGCAATTCGATATCAATTCTCAAGCTAAAACGAATTTCATCATATATCTGTAAATATATCATTAGTAGTAGCAATAAAGCACGATGCGGTGTTTAAAAATAGTGTAAATAATTACACATGTACCCAACATTTAAAAAGTATCTGAAGTCAAAATTAAGGGTCAATCTGCAAGAAAATAAACAAAAAAAAAACAACGACTCCAATCTAGTAATTCTTCTGCATGATAATTAAAATCTTATAATTTCTGTAGTTTCTCTCTGGCCTTTTGCTCCCTAAATAACGTGTGCAACAGTTTTCGGCAATGCTTTTCTCATCTTTATTGAGTTTGTTTTTGTAGAATCCAGCAGCTATCTTCAAGCATATTTTTAAATTTCTGCAAACATGATTGCAGATTACCCTGAGGCGATGGAAAATAAATATATTGGTATATCGCTACTGAATTCTACAACAAGAAACCTAGTAAAGATGAAAAAAATCCCAGAAATCCGTTTCCTGGGCCATTTGAAAACATGAGGGTCATTTGAATCATCATGCATAAAAATGACTAAATCGGAGATTTTGTTGTTATTTTTCATTTTTCTTCATTTTTTGTAGTTTGACCCCTAATTTTGACTTTAGATTCGCGTTCAGCGTTAAAAAATATATTGGAAAGCATATGTCGCACACCCAACACTGACAACTTTTTTATTTTGTGGGCATGTGTTATTGATTTACTAATATTCTTAAAACTATAATTGTCTATGACATGGTTTAAAATATTTCATTTGGCATTTTATGTGCACAAAAAGCCATGTGATAACAATGTGCTATACATTAATTAAACTCCTCTTCTCATTATACTCACTCTATGGCCAAAAAAAATTGTTTATTTTTATTAATATTTTATTTGTTTTTGTATATTTGTATTAAACGGATATTAAATCATATTTTCAATTTTGCAGGCACTGCTTAAAAGTTAAGTGAAAAGTAAAAAAAAATCACGTGTAAGTTTGGAAAAAGCATTAACAATATTCTTTGACATTCAAACATAATAGTTTACTAAACGTAATAAAAACCATTATGGAGAGTATATAACAACGAAGTATATAATATATATCACTATATTAATGAGAAGGCTAAAATACTAATATAAATAAATTTTGCCACAGGCCACTAACTAGTTAAAATTTTCCTTGAAATATATTTTAGTTAAATCTTGAACGTTCGAAATTTTAAATCGAATTTAGATATTTAGCTATTATCTATTTAGCTAATTGTTTTATATTTTAAACATACTTATGGAATCAGTGGAGACTTTTCATTAGGAGTACAAGACCCATACAATTCTGTATCAAGTAATCCATTGTTAGTAATATTAAATATCCATAATCGCTGTAAAATAAAGACTTATTAGCAATTAGTTGATTATTTGCATAAAATGATATTCGTTAATAAAGGTACGAAAAATTTGTGAAAGGCGAGCTAGCTATCATATTGTATCTTTGTAGTATACTAATTATAAGCAAATCATGCACATGCAGTAGCATAAATATATAATATATGTGGTAAGTATATACAAAAATAAAAGGTATAGAGCAGAGCGAGGCTTAAAGGTCCGAGAGTAGAAAAAGTCCACAACCCATATCTCAGATACAGTTGTTAGGAATTTTCTAACACTACATGATAGTAGAGAGAAAAAAATTATGATCAGCCATCACCTGGATTCTTACGATGTCACTATCAGAAGATAAACGGCAATGTTTGGAAATCATTACCAAAAGGTTTCCTTCCGTTGTTAGTTTTTTTGGTTGTGAGCACTGTTGTTTAGTTTACGAGATCTTAATATAATTTTTAAGTATACGTTTTTTAATTGTTTTATAAGATGTATTGTTATTTTTAACTTAGATTTAGTAGTTTTTTATGTAATCTCTATAAAAGTTTATACGGGAGTAGGAGAAAAAGGAACAATAAAAAATAGTAAATAAACAAGTAAATTAGGTTAAAAAAGCAATTTTACAAGAGGTAAATTAAATAAATATTTATTCCAACTCTGTTGATGAATATTTTTGACAAAACACTAGATCAAGATTATATACAGTGTTATCTTGTAAATAATGTACCTACGAAATTTTAATTTTTCATTGGTAGAATAATGTAGCTATAGTAGGCAAAATAATGTAGTATATTAGTCTATTTAAAATTGAAAATAAGCCATTCAATTTGTTTGCCCTCTGACTGTCTCACCTATGTGGTAAAAAGGGACAGATGACCAATTTTAAAAAAATAATAAAATACACATTTCTATAATTAGAAATAAACTGAAATTTTTAAATTAAACTGAAACAGTATAATTACTTCAAATTGAATTGGACCTTTATGCCCCGCCATACCCTATATAGATATATAGGCGGGCAAGCGTATTCAATTATTAGTTATATCATTCAAAATTTAATATTAACCATTTTACCAAAATACCTAATTGACGAACACGAATCAAATTCATCCATTCTTTATTTTATTAACATTTACGACTACTTTAAGTATCCTTAAAATATAATGGCAATATAAGAAATAATTTATTCGTTTCACCAAAATTTTAGTTCGCACTTGCAAATAATACGAGTATAACGTTTATTTTTACATTTTAACAATAATTTTATATGAAAAGAAAGTAGTGACATACAAAATTAGTAATACTTTGTTCAGTAGTTTGTTTAGAGGTTTGGTTATTTTACAAATTCCAAATTTCTACTTTTCATTATCAAAAAGACAAGTAATAAAAACAGTTGCTATATCATAAATCTAACCCACAAAAATAAAATCAGAATCGAACACAATTTCAAAACTGCAGTTTCCTTCAAAACAAAACAATTAAACAGAAAGTATTGTTGAAAATTGCATCTTCAAAAAAGTAGAAATTACCGTAACGATAGCGACAGTCATGCCTAGCAGTGATCCAGCTAGTACGTCACTCCAATGGTGCTTGTAGTCCGAAATCCTGGACAAAGCAGTGTACCAGAACATCATCAGGAGTAAAAATTGCAAGAAATTTCGGACGAGATAAGCGCCGCGCCGAGACATGCGAGCTTGAAGATACATCTGAAACAAAAATTCATTACTAAACCTCCACTAAACATTTTGTTATAATCAACTAATTATATTTGAGATATCTTATATTTAACTTCCCGTAGGATAAGTTATAGTAATCGCAAAAAAATCGAAAATGAAAATTTTTATATATCTTTACGTTTCAGAGGTTTCTGAATATTTTGGCATACCTTAGAAAAAATGTATGTATGTGTGTGTGTGTGTGGTGTGCGTGTGTGTGTATGTGTGTGTGTGTGCGTGTATGTATGTGTGTGCAGATACAAATTTTCGTCAACGATTTCGGAAACACGGATGAAGCAATTTGAATAATTTAAAAAACATTCGATTCGTATTGATAAGGAGACGCGCTGATTAGTTTTTGGCGGAGGTAGGTTTAGCCGTTCCGAAGATATGGGACAAAAAGTGCCAAAAACGGTACCTCAGTTTTTAAGAGAACGGAGCGTCCGATTTTAATAATTCAAAAAACATTTTACTTGTATTGACAAGATGAAGAATTGATCAAATTTTCATAAGGGCAGGTCTAGCGGTTTCGGAGATCTAACGAAAAAAGTAAAAAAAAAATTGGTGGTCAAAAATGATCATTAGACATATGCACATCAAATTATCAGATATTTTATAGAGATTTTAACAATAAGTATAAATTTTGATTACATTCCTAAGGGTTCCGTACCAATGTTTACCCGTTAGACAGCGACGCGGCGCTTACGCGCTTTATATTTTGTCTCTATGCAGTTAAAGAAGTTTTTTCAAAAAAAAAATTAACTAGTGGGGTGGGTGGCATCGTGCCTTAAGGCAAATTGCTGGAACTTCCCGTACCGTAACGAAATGTTCGAGGATTACTGAATGTTTTCAAATAGATTATTATAAATATTGTAACATTGTCTAATATTTGGACAGGATTGATTCAAGTCTATTTTCTATCAGCAACTGTCCACATTGCACTTATTATTCCGGATCTTCTAACGGTGCCCAAAACGAAGATATTAAATTGTGCATCATATTCTGAAAACATGCATTGATTATCTAAAATGTTTCAGTTGGTCTCAACTGAACATATCTAATTTTTCTTTTCATTCCAGACTTGGGATGAACTCGGATCGCGTCACTTGCGGTTTCATGATCTCCGATATATATATATATATATATATATATATATATATTTAATTTTTTGTTTTGTTTTTTTCATATTTTAGCGTAAATACGCGTTACCCATGTTCAAAGTCACTCAGAAATTGAGTGGTAATGTTCATGATTATGTAACGTACAATAAAGCGTTTAGAGGTGAAATTTCTTTATGCCTGAGACTTTTCACCAAACTATAAACTATAAACTATAAACTATTTATAAATATTATATAAACTGAATTGCAGAGTTGAAATTATTTGTAAAGTATATTAGAACTATAGTCAGAATTAAAAATAAATATTTTCGATATACAAAAAACTAAAAAAAAAAAAAAAAAAAGGGACAAATTTTTTTTTTCCAAAATCGATTATTTTGTTAAGACAAGCAGAAAGTTCTTTGAATCATTTAAATCGGACGCTTAGTTCTCTCAAAAACTGCCACTTTTTACATATTTAGCTCCGTATCTTCAAAACGGCTGGGCCTGCCTTTGTAAAAAACTAATAAACACTTCTCCCAGTCATTACTAATTGAATGTTTTTTAGATCATTCAAATCGGATACTCCGTTCTCTCAAAAATACGATTTCTATTTTCTGCACTCTTTGCTCCGTATCTCCGAAACGGCTGGACCTGCCTTTGCCAAAAACTAATCAGCTCTTTTCCCTATCAATAGGAATCGGATGTTTTTTGAACCATTCAAATCGGTTGATCCGTGCGCCCTAAAACGTGACTGGAAATTTGTATCCACACATACATACACACACACACACACACACACAATCCATTTTTTCTGAGGTATGCCAAAACGTTCAGAAACCTTCAAAACGTCGAGAAATGTAAAAATTTTCAATTCCGATTTTCGGCCCATTACAATAACTTACCCTAAGGGAAGTTAAAAAAAAAATTTTTTTTTTTAATTTTTTTTTTTTAATTTTTTTTTCAAAAAAAATTAATTTTTTGTCCAATTTATAGTTTCTCAAAAATCTTATTTTTTCGAAGTAAATTTTTTTCAAAAATGTTAATCGTTTTTAAAAAAATAATAATTTTTGGTACGGGAAGTTCCAGCAATTTGCCTTAAGGCGCGATGCCCTAATTGCCTCAAGACAGAATTCCACTTACAGCTAGTTATATCTTAAGTTTAATCCCTTTATGCTCCTACGACTGAATAGGATAATTTATTCAAATCCTGAACATCAAAACTATGTATTTTTTGTATCTTCTGATTGATAGTTTGATCTGATTGGGGTGTGTTTGAAGTAAGAATATGTGTACGTCATTTCTAGAGAACGAATCGACTGATTTGAATAGTAGATAGTTCGAACACAATTCAATTCTAAAACGTCTATCTCTCTCGTAATTATCTTATTGTATTAAAATATGCTGATTGTAAGGATAACTTGATAAAAGTAGGAGAATAAACAACTATGTTTGAAAATCCATAACAAAAGTATTTGTTTTTGTTTTTAGTTTTTTGGTTGTGAGCACTGTTCTTTAGTTTACTTGACTTTAATATAATTTTTAGGTATACGTTTTTTAATCATTTTATAAGATGCATTGTTAAATTTAAATTAGATTCAACAGTTTCCCTAATATAACCTATATAAAATTTTACACCTGAGTGGGGTAAAAAGGACTAATTGAATGTTTATCCTGGCAAAGGTGTAAACAATAAAAATAGTTATTCTAACTCTGTTAATCAATATTTATGAAAAAATACAAGATCAAGTTTATATACATTGCTATTTCTGTAAAAAATGTATCCATAAAATTTATATTTTGCATTAGTTGAATAATGTAGCTATTATTTTGTGAAATACCTTTAAAATTAAAATAAGACATTAGATTTGTTAGCCCCCTGGTCGTACCAATTTCCTATATTTTACTTCGTCTATGAGGTGAAAAGGACAAGGTTAGAAATTTTTGAAAAACAGCAAAAAACACACTTCTACAATAATGAGTTTGCTGGAAGTTTTACTGAATATAGTCAGATGTGTTATTTGTTGTGATATAATTGGTTTGGTTTTCACAATATAATTGCTCAATGTCAAATTAGACCTTTGTGCCCCGCCATACGCTACATACCAAATTATTATTTTTTACAGAGATTTTAATTGTATGCATTGAAGAACTCCAGTACTGTTACTGGAGTTCTAATAATCAGCTCAATAGCTTATAAAAATTTATTTTCTGATTGCTATTTAATTATTATAAAAAAAAATAATTTGCATAATTTTGCAATTTGTTCAAACATATTCGTTTGATATACGAGGTAAAATTAAAAGTAAAATGATGATTATATGATGAATGTTTATAATGCGTTTGGATTTTTAACTTCCCGAAGAAGAAGTTTATGTTTTCATAAAAAAATCCGATTAGCTAATTTTATGTTTTCTCGACGTTTCAAGCCATTCTGAATCGAATGAGACCGAATTTGGAAAAAGAATGTGTATGTGTGTGTATGTGAACAGATATTTTTTACCGTAAATCGACATTTTCTTAAAAATGGATAGACCCATTTAAAAAATTTAAGCCATTCGATGTATCTACGATCGGCCGAACCGTTTCTTTGTAAATCGCAGAAAAGTAAAAAATATTTTTGTCCATGTTTTAGGCCGCAATTCTGAATCGATTTTAAAAGATCAAAAACTGTTAGGAAGATATTAGTTGGAAATGATACTGATTAGTTTTAGGTGAAAATCTACCGAGCCGTTTTCTCGTAATTTTAGATTTTTATGAAACTTTTTTTGGCGATATATATCATGGTCTTATAGAACCTACTAAAATATTACGGCCTTACGACAAGTATTTTAATTTTAAAAATTCATCAAAGTTTCAGGAAGTGAGTTAACGTTTGTTAAAATTAAATTAAACGATTTACTTGGTATAACAATAGAGTACTTGGTCTTACTGAACATACTAAACCAGAAAACGAAAACTAGTTCAATTATAAAAATTATTGATTTGTGAAAATTTGCTTTTAGAAAATACTCCGAGTTAACGTGTTCGTTCGTTTTCAAATATGTGTAATAAATCCACTCGGAATACTTTTAATCACTCATAAATTAATTTATTTTTTATTGATTAAGTCGATTATTTACACATTTCGGGAAGTTCATGTAACTTGCCTCAAGGCAAAATACCAATACCAACTAGTTTAATACAATTGCAACTTAAATGTTAAGAACAAATTAGAACTATGATCTTACAAGGCTAATTAACAACGTTTGAATAATAAAATTTGACGAAGATATAAGTGAATATACGCGATTAAGTAATAATTTCTCTAGGAAATTCCATCTAGAATCATGAGCTTCCATACTAAATGTGAAAATAAGCTGACTAATATAACTGAGTTTTATCAACGGAATTCCTATTGAGTAAACTTCTTAGTGGATGAAATTTTCTTTTACACCTTCGGTAATATAATAGTATTGTTATATAGGTTTCAAATAGGGTGAGAAATCGATACGATTTCCACATGACTCACCACGCAATAGAGCATCGTGTAGGCCGAAAACGACGAATGTCCAGAAGGAAATGACAAACGCATTTCCTTTATCAGTCTCTTGTTAGTTGCCAGACATTCGAAATTCTCTATATATCGGTTGAAATTTGAAGGTTGCGTACAATCGACGTCTGGCCGGCATACCTGTAGAAAAATATAGATAAAATATTAATTTTTTATATATTTCTTAAACAAGTATTAAAAATGACAGTATATAAGAACCTTTTTTATAAGGAAAAACTAATTACTTCATTTTACGTGCAGAAAAATTGTATTACAGTTTTTACAACACCCTGTTTACCCCAAACACGGGGTAAATTGTAACACCGCACTTTTGTAGAAAATAAGTGATTGTAAAATAATGATTAATGGTCGTGGTCGTGGTCAGTGGTGCTATTCTTCACTTGATTCGATAGAGAAATAGTAACCTATTAACATTTTACATGATTATTAGAAAACTAAAAAAATTATTAATAAAAATTACCCTGGCAAAGTAGAAAGCACTAAAAATAGTGAGGTAGTGTGGGGCGCAAAGGTCCAATTTCACTTAGAGCAATTATATTGTGAAAATTAAACCAATTATATCATAACAAATAACACATATGAAACAAATGACTATCTGACTATGTTCAGTTAATATTCCAGCCAATTCATTATTATAGAAATGTGTATTTTTTGCTGTATTTCAAAAATTTATAACCTGGTCCTTTTTACCTCATAGGCGGGGTAAATTGGACCGGTCAGATAGCAAACAAATCCGATGTTTCATTTTGATTTTAAAGGGATTTAAAAAATAATACAGTAGAACTCCAATTATCCGAACTCCAATCATCCGAACTCCAATTATCCGAACTCCGACTATTCGAATCGCCGATTATCCGAATCACTTTCAGAAAAAAAATTGTCCAAAAAAAGTCTAAGTGCGCTATTATTCTTCCACCAGCAAAGCCAGGGTAGGCATATTGTTTGTTTTGATTTGACGGAGATGTTTACAAAACAATGATTTTTATTTCTAAACTTGTACATTTTTTTGTTTTTTTTTTAAACTCGTTTAAGTACATTTTATTTATATTTAAAACATGTGAAAATGTCATGTTTCTTTCATTTAATTCAATAAAAAATAGTGCAATATCAAAACGTAACTTTTTTTCTCTCCAATGGCAATTTAAAAAAAAAACTCCGATTATCCGAATGGGTCCCGGTCCCCATTAATTCGGATAATTGGAGTTCTACTGTAGTTACATTATTCAGCCAATGCAAAATATAAATGTCACGGGTGCATTTTTTACAGAGATCACACTGTATATAACCTTGATCAATAAAGCAATTTTACAAGAGTTAAATTAAATAAATACTATTCCAACTCGGCTGATGATTATTTCTGACGAAAACCAGATCAAGGTTATATACAGTATTATCTCTGTAAAAATGTACCCATGAAATTTATATGTTGCACTGGTTGAATAATGTAGCTATTATTTCGTAAAATCTCTTCAAAATTCAAAATAACGCATTGGATCTGTTCGTCCCATGTCTATTCCAATTTATCCCGCCCGTGTGGTGTGAAAGATCACGTGACAAATTTTTGAAAAACAGCAAAAAACACATTTCTACAATGATAAAATTAGCTTTAACTAACATTAACTCCCAGAGTTTATCTGAATTTTATAGTTAGATTAGTTGTTTGTTTCATATGTGTTAATTGTTGTGATATAATTGGTTTGGTTTTTATATAATATAATTGCTCAAAGTCAAATTGGATCTTCGTGCCCCGTCCTATCCTATTGCAATTAAAGCAAATGTAATACTCCTCTATAAATAAGTTTTAATTGAGAATATAAATTCTTGGTTTTATTTTGACAAAAACTTATAGTAAACCTTAATCCTTACTTAATTATAGCAAAATCAATATATAATTTATCATCTCCATCTTGTATAGTGTAATTTAAACTTATAAAAATTTATTAATATCACAATAATTTATATCATTGTCTAACGTATGATATTAAACTGCACCGCAAACAAAAATCTTTTTGAATTCCTTATCTTATCTAAACAATCCAACAAGCATATGGTATTATGTGAAACAATGAAGATAATTAAGATATCAAAATGTAAATTGCGCCGCAAGAAATTAATTTGAAGCAATATCAATTCTGTAATTAAATTGATTGCAAAATGACACATCTTATTAACTTCCCGTAGGGTAAGTTATAGTAATCGCAAAAAAATCGAAAATGAAAATTTTTATGTATCTCTACGTTTCAGAGGTTTCTAAACATTTTGGCATAACTAAGAAAAAATGAATGTATGTATGTGTGTGTTTGTTTGTGTGCGGATTCAAATTTTTGTCGCCGATTTCGGGAACACGGTCAATCGATTTCAATTATTCAAACAAAATTCGATTGCTATTGATAAGGAGACGTGCTGATTAGTTTTTGGCATAGGCAGGTCTAGCCATTTCGAAGATAAGGGGCAAAAAAAGTGCGACAAACGGTAACTCAGTTTTGTTATAGTAATCGCAAAAAAAATCGAAAATGAAAATTTTTATGTATCTCTACGTTTCAGAGGTTTCTAAACATTTTGGCATAACTAAGAAAAAATGAATGTATGTATGTGTGTGTTTGTTTGTGTGCGGATTCAAATTTTTGTCGCCGATTTCGGGAACACGGTCAATCGATTTCAATTATTCAAACAAAATTCGATTGCTATTGATAAGGAGACGTGCTGATTAGTTTTTGGCATAGGCAGGTCTAGCCATTTCGAAGATAAGGGGCAAAAAGTGCGACAAACGGTAACTCAGTTTTTAAGAGAACGGAGCGTCCGATTTTAATAATTCAAAAAAGATTTTACTTGTATTGACAAGGTGAAGAATTGATCAAATTTTCATGAAAGCATCTGCCATTTGGCGGTCAAAAATGATCATTAGACATATGTACATCAAATTATCAGATATTTTATAGAGGTTTTAACAATAAGTATAAATTTTGTTTACATTTCTATGGGTTCCGTACTAATGTTTATCCGTTAGACGGCGACGGGGCGCTTACGCGCTTCGATATCTCGTCTCTATGCACTTAAATCATTACAATTGCTTTAAAAAAAAGTTCAGAATTTCCAAAATATTTAAAAATAAACAAAACATTTTTTTCAAAAAGTCTTTTTGTTTCAAAAAAAAGTAAATTTTTATAAAAATTTATAGTTTCTCAAAAATCTAATTTTTCAAAGTAAAATTTTTTCAAAAATGTTAATCTTTTTAAATAAAAATAATTTTTGTTACGGGAAGTTCCAGCAATTTGCCTTAAGGCACGATGCCATGCGCCCCACTAGTTAACTTTCCAAAGGTCTACGATTTTACGAAACAGTCCGACATGCTAATTTTATGATTTATCGACGTTCAAGTCATTCCGAAACGTTGGAGACCAAATTTGGAAAACCTATGTTTCTGTATGTATGCGCGGGTGTTTGTGAACAGATTTTTGACCTATCGTCAACGTATTCTCAAAGACGGCTGCACGTTTTTTCAAAAGTTTAACCAATTTTACCCGGGACTCGCGCGATAATTAGCAGAAAAGTGCAAAATTTTTCGTTTTAGCCAAAAATCCTAAATCGATTTTAAAAATTTCGCAATATAAAAAACTATTCACAAGATATTAATTGGGTATCGTGCTGATTAGTTTTTGGTATAGATTGGCTAAACTGTTTCTTCGTAATTATTAGCCAAAGCATAAAAAAATTCAACGATTCTTAAAAAACTTTTTTTGACGATGAAGGTCTTGGTCTCCTAGAATATATTAAAATATTACGGTCCTACGACAAGCCGATAATTTTAAAAAATCATCAAAGTATAAAGAAATGTCCTACATGCTGACGTGAGCCAAAATTGACCTTTTCTTTAGAATTAGAAGAAAAGCAAAATTTTTCGTTTTTGTAGAAAAATTCTAAACCGATTTTAAAAATTCAAAAGCTATTCGAAAGATATCATTCGAAATTATGCTGATTTATTTTTGGCAAAGATCGGTTCGCTGGTTTGTTCATTATTGATTGTTCAAAAAGATAGAGTTCCTGGTCCCTTAATGAACATGCTAACATATTAGAGGCCTACTATAAGTGATTTAATTATAAAACATAATTAGAGTTAATAGACCGTGCTTTTGGAAAATGCTCGAAAAAGTATATTTTAGGCACGTGTTCGTTTTTCAATAATGTGTAATTTAAACAAGTAATTTGGAAAAAATTGCTCAAATTGAAAAACCTGTAAGAAATCTCATATGTTAATAGTTGCTATATTGATATATTGATTTCTTACTGATTGAACGATAAGATACTGCGACGTTGTCGTCATAAAATAAAACTCTAGTTTTGAAATAGTTGAAAATTTGAAACTTTAAAGAAATAAAAGTATTAAAATTACTATAATCGTTATTATCACTAAAATTTCATTTTGTAATATTTAAATAAAATAGAAATTTAATAGAAATACGATTTTTTTTATAAACACGTTGTCGTAGGGCCGTAATATTTTATTATGATCATAAGACTATAGTATCTACCGTCAAAAAAATGAATAATGAAAATCGTCGAAAAAAAACACTTTATTAGAAGAAAACAGCCCGGCCGATCTTTACCAAAAACTAATCAGGTCGATTTCCAACCAATATCTTTTGAACGATTTTTGAATTTTCAAAATCGATTCAGAATTGCGGGCTCAAACGTGGACGAATTTTTCACTTTTCTGCTATTTATAAAGAAACGGCTTAGCCGATCGTCGCACAAAACTAACAAACAATACATCGAATGGATTTAAAATTTTTGAAATCGGTCCAGCCGTTTTTGAGAAAAAGTCGATTTACGGCAAAATATCTGTTCACACACACACACATACTTTTTCCAAATTTGGTCTCATTCGATTCAGAATGGGTTGAAACGTCGAGAAAACATAAAATTAGCGAATCGGATTTTTTGACGAAAACAAACTTGTCCTTCGGAAAGTTAAAAATACTGTAAATTATTTAAAAAATACAAAAAAACTTATTTTTATTCAATTAATTAGTTGTATATTATGCTGTTTTTAAAACTAAACTGTATTTACTCGTAAAACTAAAGATTAAATACTTAGCGTTCTACAATATTGTTTGACAAATTTCTAACAAAGGGTATGGGTGTGTTTCCATACATAATCGGTCCCACCCTGGTATATAAATTATTTTCATGCCATTTTATAAATATTTTCGAAAAAATTCTAAATACCGAATTTCAAATCCGTAGCTCATCATTTGACCGAGATATCAGTGAAAACATGTGACACTTTTTCAAACTCATTTTTTGTCAGAAATATGAGAGATATCAAAAAAATGTTAACGTCATTCTATTTATACTGATCTTGTCTATGTTGTGCATAATAAATAATGTGAAAAAAATATTTGTTAGTGCGTGAAAAGGTGAAAATGACTTTCCATTTTGCATTTTCTACCAGTGTGGCTCTTTGGACTACTTTTAAATTAGCATTATTCGAAAGCCTGTACATTTTCTTCTGTTATTCAAAAATTCATTTAAATGTAGCTGGTGACTTCGTGGTGAAAAGTTGGGAAAACTTAAGCTAGTACTAGCGCTGCCGGCACAAGAACACCCATATAAAGTCGCTTTGCAAGAGCGACGAGCAAGCATAATATAAGGCTCGTCGTTATCGCGCGTCTCGACAAATTCTGTATATATGGAAATATTTATTAAAAACCAAAACTCATTTATATCTTGTATATAAGTATATTCATTAGTCATAATAAAAAATCCAACGCGCTGAATAAAAACAATAATTATTATTATTGATTATTTTCATTCGCCGTATAAGCTTGTGACTTATATATTTATGAAAATGTATGAAAAACTTAAGATTTCAATATTTTTTATATATTTACGTCGGCAATAAAAAGTATTTTAATTTTAATTCATTACCTTTTTGATTTTTTGCAATGTTATTCCATTCTATATAGTTATCATTAAATAAAAAATCGATAAAAATATATGTTACATATGTAATACGTCAACACTTTTCCAGTTATTTTCTGTAATGATAGACCAATTGATTTAAAGAAAAAATAATTACAATTTCGTAAGTAATTCGCAGGAAGTGAATTCAATCATGTACTATGGTTGAATCTGAAGATTCGAATCATCAATGTACCATTTTATATAATTTTTATAATTTTTATCAATAATGCAGTAAATACTTTAATTAGTTCAATCTTCGGGACTTACATCGAAAAAGTGTGGTCTCAGCCTCCCGATGCTGTATTTAGCGATATCTGTCGTCAATTGGGAGCAGGCGACTCCGAAGGCAAAAGTTCCAATGGCGCAATAACTGCTCCACAGCCAAGCGGGCAATTGGTGGCCGAGTATCCGTCCAGTCCGCGATGATCTCGAGCATCCTCGCGCCCTGAATATTTCTACGCACACCATCTGAAAAGAAAAACACATTAAAAACCACTATTTAGGGTAGAGGATAGAAGTAGAAAGCGTTATAATGGATGTAGTCATATTCAACATTTTCTACAAAGATTTTTTGGGATTTGTATTTGCGTACTGACTAACTAGGGATACCTCGGGTTTACTCTTCTGAGATTTTGATGAAACTTCACGTGGTGATAGAGCTGATAGCAAAAAAAAAAAAAACATCTTAAAATATTTAGGCCTATGAGAACTGATTTAATTATAAGAATTAATTGAAGTTAGCTAGGTAGCTCAGTTGGTTACTCGACATGCTACTAATATTTACGCTCGCGTTTTTAAATAAGAGAAGTAAAAATGCTCGGGTTCAAATCCCGCCAGCGTATTTTTTTAAAATTTATTTGAATGTATGTATCTATAATTATTATAGTATCGCCTTTATTTTGCAAACATATATATATATATATATATATATATATATGTATATATATATACATATATATATATATATATATATATATATTGTAGTGGTATTCACCCTTTACAATAGTTATAAATAATATTATAAATTCGATATAACAATCAATATGAAAGACGCAATACGTTGTTGGCTTACAGCTCATAGATTGTATCAGAGATAAGAATGACGCATGGCCGTTGCAACATTGTATGCATGTCAGTAACGGTTTTGTAGGGTTTTGCGTCTAAAGTAAACAAGTATGAATCATTTTAACGTATTTTTCTGGAAGGATGATTGCGTCATCATCAGAGATTATAAAAGCCTGAAGACGAGAGAATGAGGGCGCACTTGTTGACTAAAAGCCAAACAGTTCACATCACTCTTATTCAAAATATCAATTGTGTATTAAGTGTAACCAAGTAATGAATTAAATAAATATTAATAAATGTCTTCAGATGTTTAATTAAGTATTTCACAGTGGTAAAGTTTATGACAGCAGCAGAAGAACCTAAATTTTAATTGTTGACATCGTTGGTGTGAGGCAACATAATTGTTGGCAACGGATCCACAACATAAATTGTTGTTAGCCCAGGGGTGCACAACAATATATATAAATATATACATTATATGTAAATGATATTATCTGTAAGTACATACTATATGTATTTCTTAAGCCAATTTATAAATAAGAAAATGATTTATAAATATAAAGTGTTATGAATTACTTTTAATTTTACATTTTATATCAAACTAGCAAACCGGGCGAACTCCGTTTCATCACCAGATGGTTTCACTTTATGTAACATTTCGCTTGATGATTAAAAGATGAAGAAAAAAATTGCCTGCTGTTGAAATTGAATAAAAATTTGCACAATACACGTGATTGATTTGATGGTTTCCAATTGAAATGTAAGGAAACAAATAACTTATTTTTTTACATATTTTGCACAATTTCACAGTGAACACAATGCCGGTTTGTCACATGAAATTAACTGAGCAGAGAATAATGAGTAGCTGTCGGACAAATGAGTAGCAGTCAAACAAAAAATATTAGTTTGTAGCACATGCAAAGTATCAGAGATGACGCTGTATGTGAAAAAAGAAAAAGTGTTTTCCGCTTTTCTGTTGAAATCTTTCTTCAAGTTTCTTTGCTATAAACCTCACGGAGTCCGAGACCTTTCCAACGAATGCAAAATCGTCGAAATCGGATCGTGCGTTCTGGAGCTATATCGTCAGAAAGGAAAACCCGACTTATTTTTATATAATGGATTATATAAAAATATATATCTGTAAAAGGTTCGACTTTGTGCACCTATAGTCGGGGTAAAATGAGGCACGCAGGAGGCAAAGAGGTATAATGTCATATTTTTATTTTAAAGGGATTGTTCAAAATAATAGCTACATTATTCAACCAATGCAAAACATAAATTTCATGGATTCATTTTTTACAAATATAAAACAGCCTATAACCTTGATCTGGTAATTCCTCAGAAAAAACATCAGCAGATTTGGAATAAATATTTTTTATAAGAATAATATTTATTTAATTTATTTTATGTAAAATTGCCTTTTAAACTCATTCTTTTTTATTTAACATTTTTCAATGCTTAAAACTTTGCTAGGGTAAAGACTCAAAAGGTTTTTTTTTATCCCCCGCCTAACAACAAAAGAAAATACTTTTGCTATGGGTTTTTTCATCACCTTAATCATTTTTTCATACCTAAGCAAGTTTAATCTCATTGAATTGTTGGGAACATATTTTGCGAACAAATTTTTAGATGACGATAATATACTCATACATAATTACTACTACAGCTTATCAGATTACTAGCTCATCAATAACTGTACGAGATACTTAAACAATTAAAAGTACTTAAAGAGTACAACCGTTAATTTTGTTAGTATTTTTATTGCATTTTTTTTAAATCTTTTGATTTATTAATAAATACACTATGAACAAACATTCTGGAATGAAAAAATATGAAAAATAAAAACATTGTTATCCTATGATATATTTGAACCACGAGAAACAAACGTTATTCAACTTCTCTTATCCTTCATTAATAAAGTAGCAATAAAAATCGTGTGTTTACTCATCATGAATCTCGGGGCAAATTCTTATAATATTCAAATGAATTTTCGTGATGTCATAAGCGGTTATGCAATGTTTATGCGATGGTCATCATACAATTCCCTTGGAACCTGCTCATAGCCTCGTAGTAACGTTTTTTGTTTGATCATTAATACATCATGCCATTCATGTGCCGCCTAAACGTAAGTTGTAAATTGAATATTCATGTGCATTATCTCTGAAGTTGCATGCGGATTTATTACCTGTACGTGCTGCAAGACAAATCGTGAGAAAAGAGGGAAGTTCAGGAAGTCGTGCAATACTCGCATTCGCAATTGATTTTTAACTCTGTCGTTGCCTCACGCGGGTTATTGTTGATTGTAAGGACGGCAGTTTTATTATTGACGACTATATTCGCCATGCGTATAAATCAGTACCCATTGGCAATTTGAATCAAAATTTTTGAAAAAAAAAACAAGTAGAGGGTAAAGTCCACACCCGATATCTTAAAAACAAATAAAGCTAAGAATTTTTTAACAACAATATTTGAAAGTAGAGGGGAAAAATGTAAAACCACAGCCTTCGCCTTGATTCCTACGATGTCGCTATCGGAAGATAAACGGCAATGTTTGAAAATCCATAACAAAAGTATGTATTTATATTCGCTGTTAGATTTTTTGATTGTAAGCACTATTGCTAAGTTCACGAGACCTTAATATTACTTTTAAGTATACGCTATGTATTGATTTATAAGATGAATTTTTAATTAAGATGAATTTAAGTTTACAGTGGTTGGGGTAGAAAAGACGAACTAAATATTACCCTGACAAAGGCGTAAACAATAAAAAATAATAAATAAAAAAGTAAATTCAATTAAAAATTACAAGAGATAAGTTAACTAAATCGTTATTCCAACTTTGCTAATAATTTTTTTCTGGCAAAATACCAGATCAAGTTTATATACAGTGTTATCTCTGTAAAAAAATGTACGCATGCAATTTATATTTTGCATTGGTTGAATAATGTAAATGTTATTACGTAAAATTCCTTTAAAATTAAAAATAAGACATTGGACCTGCGAGCCCCTGACTGTCCCGTTGTATTCCGCGTGTGGTGTAAAAAGAACCATTTGACGATTTTTTGAAAAACGGCAAAAACATTTCTATATTCATGAATTAGCTGGGCCATACAGTTTCATTGAACATAGTCAAATAGTTTTTTATTTGATATGATATAATTGCAAATAGTTTTCACAATATAATTGCTCAAAGCCAAATTGGACCCTGTACTCCGCCCTACCCTACATAATAGGTTGTCAAATATCTCCCTTCCGCTTTTTTGCTCTTGGTTTATAATACAAAAAGGCGGAAGGGAGATGTTTGACAACCTAATATATAAATATAAATATAAATATAAATATATATATATATATATATATATATATATATAATATATATGTATATATAAACTATCAACTATAAACTTTTTAAACATGCATCCATACAGATCCTAAATATGATGAAAACTAAATTTTGTTTCTTACAGTAAATTTAATGGTCCATACGTTTCGAGTCCCAAAAAGAAAAAAAAAATCATATATATTGAAGAGACGTTAGTAATCAATTTACTAATTAATAATTAAATGTAACCAATTTTTAATTATTCTTGAGTAGATTAGGGTTTTATTTTGAATACTTTTGAATACGAGAATTGGAACATTTGTAGCTCTTCGGGAAGTGTGTGAAATCAAAGAATTTATTTAGATACAAAAATTTATTTATCGCTTTATTATAATATTTCAGTTGTTGCTTGTTCAAGAGTTCAGGACTAACTAACTTATATTTTTACATTTTTAAAATATTTCCAATATTTCTAGTTTTATGATAGCTCGCCGAAGGTACATGAGCTATCATAAACTTTTATTAAGGGTTGTCTGGCAGATGTACAAAATATTCGCAACATTTACCGTTACTTGGGAGTATACATCGTTCAAAGGAATTCATTTATGACTATTATTTATAATTATAAAGAACACAATTCTCAACACCTCCATCGTGAAAATTAAGCCGTCCTCGGCTTATTACATAACATTAGCGAATTTCAGGTTGTAATTTACTGGTACATTAATAACTAAAATCTTTATCTTAATAACTATGAGTTGATGCATAATGGATATAACAACTAAAGACATCAATTTTTATTTATATTTTAGTAAATCAAAACACTTAGCTAAACCTTAACATTAATATTATAAGTTGGACTATTTTTTTTAATTCTAGATTTACATTTACATTACATATTTTAGATTTAATTTATTTGTGAAAAGAAATATTATTTTTATTATTATTATTTAATCAATAAAATTTAATTGATAATTTGATTTATGTGATAATTAACATTATTCTATGAGATTTATCAAATTAATTAAATGCAATTCAATAATAAGATTTTTTTTTTTTTTAGAAAATTTGATAAAGATTA